TGTTCCCAGATAAACTTGCCAAGCGCATCCAAGCGCTGTCATATTCATGAATGGAGTCGATTGAGTTCCTTGGTGATCCCTGCATCCTTCGTGGCACAGCCTACCACATCGCCTACCCAAAATGCTGAGAAACTAAGAGGATGGCATATCAAAGGATCCCTCCTCATGCCATTGACTCGTTAATCCCCAACTACAGTATATATAACATTACATTGTTGTAAAACCTGATCCGCCAATGCTGGCAGGATCAGTCTACACCTGATCCGCCTTCTCTCAAGAGGCTAGCCCGAAGCCCTCCTTTTCGGGTGGTCGGACCGGATGGCGGATGGCTCACGGATCGGAACTGACACAGAGGCAATCAATGTGTGGCCGTCCTATACCTGTTTGTTTGGAGATGTTTTTGGGGCGTTTGGGGGATAGTGTTTGAACTCTGGACAAGTTGGTGTTTGAACTGGTTGGTGTTTGTTTGAAGTGACAAGTTGGTGGTTGAACTCTGGACAAGTGTTATTTGGAGGGTCCAGAGTTCTCGGGTGCGGATGATCGTGAAAGCCTTTGTCTATGGCGCGATGCGTGCACATCTTTTCATGTTGAAATCGCTCAACGCAAAGCACGTTTATATTGTAATAAATATATATATATACTGTAATTGTACTATAAGACTATAATGTTACCCTGGCCTTCAATGTAGAAGTTTAACTTCGATGTGGATAAGGTAGATGTTTTACCAGGTGAAACATCGACGTAACTTAAACATTATGATTGGATCCATGGAGAGAATGGTTTCACAATAATTTCCAGACATGAGCATAGAATCATACTCATCCATATATACTGATGAACTGGGGGTGAAGTTTTAGGACCTTCTAGAAGATTCCTATGAGATCCGGGTGGAACTCCCTCGCGTGAAGTTGCGTGAACTACGTGTGAAATCGGCGTGAATGTGTATGTGTATGTTTTACCTATTAGATGCCATGTTTACCGCGAGATCCGCGTGAAATCGCGTGAAGTTCTTCCCCCCCCGAAAAGGATCCACTCAGGAAACCAGAATTTTAGTCCAAGACAGTCCTATCTTGCTAAGACATTTCTGCCGCTCTGAAGGCTTCCACTGTGATTCACCTGCCTTTCAATGTGGAAGCTTTGCTTCAATGCGTGATGTGAGAGCCCAAAAGATCCGTTCTTCCTGCCACATGTTAAAAAGTAAAACATCAACGTAAGCGTTGCTTCAAAGCAATGCATCGACATTTCCCCATGTTGAAGTAAAACTTCGACGTTGGAAGGGCAGGGGTTATATATATATATATACTATATTCAAATAGATTTGGTGTAAGGGCTGCCAGATGTGCACATGTTGCAGTGAATCCGGAGCTCACTAATGAATGTCTTGAGACGAGAGAAATCCACGCACGGAATTTCTGTGATCACAAGTTCACCAGGGCTTCAGCCAGCCTCAGGCCAGTTGTTCTGTATCAAGGCAATATGAGTCAATTGTTTTGCAATGTGTCTTTCATTGAAATGTGTCTACAGTATATGTTCTAGCTTCAATAGCCATATTCTCGAGTCGGTTTTCCCTTTTCACAATGTGTCTACAGTGAATCGTCGTCGGCATCCAGGTGCTACAGCAACGATGCGGATCCCAATACCATTGCCTGTGAGTCGTCCATACCGATGCCAGGAATAAGATGGACAAACAGATTTCATTGTCAGTCCACGTCAGCTCCTACATGAAGAATGAACGGACTGCTGCATTGACATAGACTCGTAGACTCACAGGCATGGATTTGAACCTTTCTCGAATCTTCTCAAGACCGATTCCTCCCCCAAAAGTGGACACCAGGTTTATGTTACAGTAATGAATGCATGTTTATGTTAACGGCCACTATTGTCAATATGAGACACGCGGTACTTACTGGTTTCAATATGGAACTGACTGGTCGTTGGGCGCGCAAAACCCTGAGAACATGTAGCAGACCATCGGGCACAGATACCCCTAGCCTATAGATGCAACTCACAGTAAACCTTACAGACATCGTGTGCAAAATTGGACACCGCTGACCACACAGTTTTGCCACGGCAATTGAGACGGACCCAACGGTTGAGAGACGAGACACAAAAGCCGCCGCAGCCGAAACGAGGCTTTTCGATGAAATGATGAACTGTTCCCCAGCCCGCGTTCGCGGCCCCAAGGGCTCTGGTTGGGGCATCTAGCAGCGCAATACTGTCAGTCTACCTAGACTGAAGTATGATATCCGACCATAGTTGATTGTCCATAGAACCTGTGTAACCATGGGGTTGGATGATGATCCCAACTCAGCACCCTGTTCAACATGGAAACTCGACCTGGAGACCTCGGCGAGTTTTCATCTATCACTCTACCTCATCCTACCTCTAAAATCCGGGCCCTCAACCACATACTGTATGTGGTTGAGGGCCCGGACGCGTTTCGGTGTCGCGTCCGACCCCTGCCATGCAGGGTCCCAGGATTCTTAGAGAAGTCGTTCTATTTGGCAAGGATTCTTCAGCCCTAGTAAATTCCCTGGCGTCGGGACGCGCGAGAACAGGAGCGTTTCACCCTCACCGGGAGAACACCCGGTGTGTCGGGAGTCCAGAGCGACGCAGAAAAGGACGACGCCCGCGAGTCGGGAGATGGCAAACCGGCCGATGGACGTCCATGTGGGGGGAAGAGGGTTGGTGTTTTGAGCGGAAGCTCGTGCAGGTAACATGGTCCAATACCACCTGTGCACTCGAGATGTGAGCGGCATTTGAGATGTGAGTGAGTCCAACCAATGCGAGTCGAGGCCCATGTCCTCGAACGAATCCACATCACGTCTTGTGACAATTGTGCCCTACATCTTTCCTTCCCCTGAGATGGTCTTCTGGAGATCGCAACGGCAGCTCTCTAGCTAGCATCTATGGTGCGTTGATGTGTTTTCAGTCATGTTTTGTTTGCCAGGTCACTGAGAAGCCTGGAGAGCTCAGCTGGGCAAGGTTTGTTGATTCGTTGAATGTTTAGACCTTTGGAACAGATTGGGGCATATGGATGCCATAGTTTCTGGCCATGCCCACGTGATCGTTTATCCTTCATGCCCCAATCTAAAAGTGGTTGCCGTACATCGGGCGAGCACGGAATTATCCGGATGTTCAACATTATGTTTCAACTGACCCGCAGTATGGCCACTTTTAACCTGTATGAGGGTTTGAGTCCCTCGTGGAGAGAGTATGACACCCAGTGCAGAAGAGAAACGACCATGTGATGACCTCAGTTGGCCACTGTTCGGTCGATTCTGAACACGCAGCAAACCTGGTACCTTGGAGTTTCAAGATGTTTCAAGGGATTCAAGGCCACCCCAAACACCCTGAATTATGCAACCGTATCCATTTTGGAAGGTCTTTGTATTGTCATTAGACCTTTTGAATTCTATATAAGAGACAGTTTGAGCAAGTCCTGAAGTCCGACGGCCAGCCCACGATGCCAAGGCCACCTCGGGCCGTTCGGGGCCTTTCGTGGCTGTTCGTAGCCTCTCAGGGGACCTTGCGCGCTGCTGTTGACCGAATGCGGCTTGGGCCTCCGCATTCCCTTGAACAGCAAGAGGACGGTTTTCAGAAACATCGGCAGCGAATGTGCGCGAATGTGCCGGGAGCATGCGTCAAAATCTACTAACCAACTGGGGATGCTTGGTAGCAATGTACCTTAATCATCCTTAATCATCTATAGCTATATAGATAGTTTGAATGTAGCAACGTACCTGGATCATGTAATTACCTTAAGATCTTACAAGCATAACCGGATCCATGCACCTTAGCCTAAGGTCACATTTCATGTAGGACAGAGGATTTTCAAACGCAACATGTGGCTGCCATTATTTTGAGATGCTCTTTTGACACCGGTTGCATGCCAATATGACGTGTATAATATGCTGCACGGAAGTGGAATCATAGCTGGACTTTGTAGCTTTCAGTAGGTATTGGACCAAACAATTTACCAGAGATTGGGTCTGCAGATTTTGGCTCTCCCTTTTGGTTGAATCTTCTCCGACCGACTTCAGTCACTGCAGATCTCCCCTGTTCTTTTCCCAACGTTACTCTGATGACGCCTTTGACGCTGCAGAGATCATGACGCTGTCGCCTCCGCGGGTTCTTCGTCGCCGGGTTCTTCCGCGCCGTCGCCGGTCCCTTCGGGGTGGACAGGATCGGTTTGTCCAACAAGGGCGGCAAAGGGAAGCGAGTCATGAAGCCGCTCGGACGGGAGGAAGCTGCGGGTCATGGGGGGCGGGGGAGGGGTGGAGGGTGTGGCGGTGGCGTGGCGAAGAGGAGCGGTGGCGTGGCGAAGGGGTTTAGGAAGAACAATGAAGAACATTCAATCTCTTCCACCCTGTATTGAGATTTACCTGGGCGCTAGTGTCGTTGTCGTTGTTTTGCAGGAGGTCCCAAAAATCACAGGGGTAGCCCAACGATGAGAATCTGGGAAGAGCTTCAAAAGCAAAAAGTCGCCTGAGATCTTATGTAAACATCCTTTAATCAACTCCTATGAAAAACCGACAATGACCTGCAAATCGAAGAGTCTTCCTCTTTTCCCGTTGCAATGCACGATCCTTTATTGAAGTGTTGATTCCGCTTGTGTCCAGTGTCCATCAGACTAACGGTTAGGTGATGTCACTGTGTGTCGCTGTGCCCATGCGTTTTGGCAAGCTAGGCCTTGCGCGCGGCTTTGCCGAAGGGGGCACGATCCGCACGATGTGTGTCGTGCTGATCCTACTGGATCCGAATGGTAAAACACGTTTTAAATATAAAGCCTCCAAATTTACATAAATTTACCTTAGGGGCACTTTAGTCACTTTACATATAGTAGTCGAAAGTGAAGTGGATAGTTTACAAGCAAGGTAAGATGAATTAAACCGTATTTTGGGTTGTCCGACGTGCGTTTTTGTTGCCAATTGGGTAGTGGTTAATGAGTAGTTGGGACTAGAGTAGTACTGGGTGGCAGTTACTCCTGGTTTGCCTACCCTTCGATTAGTGGAGTGATCGAAGTTCAGATGTCAAAGCCCGGACTTCGTCTTCCCAACTCCGTTCCTAGTCATCACATAAGGCTCCGTTCGGGCGTCCGCGTTGCCGCGGCCTTGCCAGCGAGGTTGCCAGATGGAGATCAAGTGGTGTCGGCCCAGTGCTGAGCATGGAGTGGATCAATTCAATTGGAATTTTATGGTATTTTGGTTGGAAGGTTGACGGGTAAAAACTAAAACGCTCGAAAAGGGCCATGAATGTGGAATATGCGAATTTGCTCAACACCCAGGTCACCGGGACTGAAGCTACAGAAGCTGGTCAAAACTCAGCACTTGACTAGAATAGGGCACGTGAGATAACATGTGAGATAACATGTGGTGACCTCGATTGCGGTTTCATCTTCCATGGTCCGTCCACCCATGTCCACCCCGGCTCTGTCCCGCCCAGCTGGTAGAGGATGATCATTGAACAGAAAACATCAAGTTCCATGCAAGAGTTGTGTTATCATGTTTGGTTGGCAATTCATGTTGGTTGCAAATGGGGTTGGCTCCCAGGGTTCCTAGGTGATTTGATGTGATTTGGTATGCCCAGACGGCACGGCTGTAAGTAGACAATTAGATGTGCGCCGTTTGGCGAGTCAAATGGTCTTCAGGGTCAGAATGAGGCTCGGCGCTCGACTCAAATACAGTTCACTGGTGCTGCAGTCATCCCTGACATGGAACCATTCGGGCATTCGGGGGTTCCAATTTCGAGGCACTCGGCACGTCTTTGTCTGTTTCCAAAGGAATACCCAAAGAGATTCCACCAGCCTACCTGTTTTTGGGTTCCCCAGACCTGCGAGTGTCCCCCAAAAGTCTGTTACAGAAGGCCACCCAGTCTGTTGTCAGGTTTGCGTCGTCTCCGGAAACACGGCCCAAGAGCCTGCGAAGCCTCCCGCTGCGCTGCTGGGCGCATGAGATCGTGAGGCTTTGAGGAAATGAACATGGATAAAGTTGAAGTGACCATCGCAAAATGTAACTGTTGATAAGCCGTGTTGAAGCAACTTCAGAATATACACTTGACGCTTACGGTTTCCGGATCTGTGATGTTCAGAAGATTTCGGACAGTCTGGAAAATACACGAACAAACATGTAGTTTGATCTTGTTGATGAAACAACCATGAACAAGATACGGTAGTCACCAGCATTCTGACGCGGACATTCGTAAAATGCTCCATGGTTCAAAGTTCTGCCCCTGAGAGTCTCCCTGTTTGGTGTTGTGTATCCTTCTCCCGACATCGCTGGCTCCAACAACACTGCTTTGTGGCTGATGTGTTCGAGCTATGTTGACCTTCTGCGATCAACCCCCAAAGGGCTTGAAAGATTTATGGTTACTCAACTGGAGGGACCCTGCGCAGAATTTGTGTCGGGACCTTGTGCCCGATGTCAAGCTGAGAGATATTCGAGGTGGCAGCTGTACATGAAAGACCAACCAGAAGCTTCGGAGGCTTGCGCTGGTGTTTGGTGGTCTAATGGTGTCTTCCGAGGACGAGACTGTGGTCTTTGAGACGTTGAGGGGTCTTTGTGCGGAGAGAAAGGAAACATACAAGAAGCAACAGAAGACTGCAAGGTCAAGTGCTCAAACATCATCCAAGATCCACGAGAAACCTTTCCTTTTCATTGTGACTCCTCAGGGACTTCAGACCCTCCAAGAGTACGTGCATGTAGGTGCCATGTATTTTCCGGGAGGGCGAGTCAGGACTCCTTACCTGCCTGAGCACTTGAGCACCTCTAGAAAATTGATGAAATTGACCACCGCCCTGTCGAAAGAGCGCGGCCCCTTCTTGGATCTGGGGCAGGTGAAGAGGGCTAGCCCCTAGCTAGCTCTCCTTGGCTCCAAAAGACGTCGCGACCACTGCACCACTGTCGCCGCGACCGCTGTGCGTTTTCGCAGGCCGGCTTCACGGTGCTTCCAGCAGATCTTCGGAGGCCAAGCGGGGCCGAGTCTGGAGAATGAGTCTGGAGGGGGGTTGGAGGATGGTTGGATTACAAGATGATAATATGAATAATTTGTTTCTTTTGGGCAAGCGATTTAATTGCATTTAGATGCACTTAGTATCATTGAGCTCATAGACTCATAGTTGTTTTGATTTGACATCTACTATAGGTAGTGCTTTTCATAAGAGGATTAAGAGGTTGGCGCTGGTCGGCTTGGATGTTCAGGTTCAAGGATGTTCAGGATCCTGTTTTTTTCATTAGAGCTGCTAGTGACCCTGCGAACCCCAATTGGGAACCCCAATTGGGGATGGCGGTCGGTATCCCGCCCACCAGGTCTAGTCAACCCATCCCGACACCCGGTAGGTCAACCGGTCGGTCTGGTGCCACCAGACAAGAACGTGCATCCCATTTCTTGTGTGTGTGGTTTCGGATATGTCACATGTCGACATGTTTAGCCTTACTTGGGATGATTGACCTACTGCATGACTGTATTTGTTCAAGTGAGTTGAAACGACAAGCAGTTTTTGTTTGTCGCTTTTTCCAGTCCATTTGGCCAATCTCGAGGCCGTATGAAGCTCAAGAAGAGGCGATGAAGCGCCAGTGAGCAGCTTGGGAAGACCCTCCTTTTTGGTTGAAAGCAGTACTCAGTATCAGCAAAGGCAATCGACTTTCAGCCAACGTTAGGCCAACATTCCATGATTTTCATTTAGGGCACCTAACAGCTGTTCTTTGGACTGTGAAGTGAGAGCTGGGAGGTACAGAGAAGATCTTGAGAAGTATCATCAGGAGGCGCGGGGGATGGCCCCATGCGGCTGCGGGCTGTGTAAAGGAATACCATGGTCAAACCTGGCAAATGAATCCAGGCATGTCACAGAGATTGATTATATTTGATGACTATCGTGTTCGAAACAGGGAATCCTCTTCGTCATGTATGTGGCCTGGAGACCACTATAATAATAATGATTGATCACTCAACGTCCAACACGCTGTGATCAATGTAAGATGATGTCTTTGACATCGCACAGATGTACAAACACATCGACCAAATGAGAAGCACTGGAGATACGTTGACTCATCAACACGAGGGTTGCAGGTTACTTATGAACTTCCTTACTCAAGCCAGAAGTCTGAAACATGGAGCTTCATTGAACCAGATAAGGGGTATGGTATGGTATGGTATGGTGTTCAATGGTTTTTACTTGAATACTAAATGAAACTTGCTCCATGTTGATATTGATGAAGCAATAATAATAATCACCAGCAGGTTTTGCTTTGATATAATTCATAATATGGAGACAAACATGTCCTTTGGATTAATATGTATATACAGTACATGATTCTGGGATGAGCTCTGCAAATACTGTATCAGTACACACCCAAGCATCAGGACTTGGGTTTAAAAGAGGTCCCCAAGCACTACTAGGAGCAAGGATGCTACTAGGGGCTCCTGGCATCGCTAGTAGGAGCAAGGACGCTACTAGGGGCTCCTGGCCTTACTACTAGGAGCAAGAAGCTACTAGTAACAAGAAGCTACTAGGGGCTCCTGGCATTGCTACTAGACCTCGATCCCAGTACGGTGGACCCACACCGCGAGGACAACGAGGAGCTGCTGTTGGGCTCTGCCAGCGGAGCGGTGACACGCATCAAGGTGAGCCAGATCCTTAGAGGGAGATGGGTGATGCGACTCGTTGGTCCCTTCAGGACCTGTCAGGATTTGACAGAAGGGACCGACAGAAGTTCTGAGCAGTTGCGTGCACCATGCGCACAATGGTGTTTCGTTCGACCTTGGTGAATCGAATCACTTGGTGAATCAGCACGTTCTCGCTCGAAGGGCCTCAGATCCATCCGTATGCTTGGAGCATCGGTATGCTTAGGTTCCGTGCCGGTCACTACACGCCTCATCCGAGGCAGGCTTTCCGTTTGTATGTGTGTCAAGTGATGCTCTCCCCTGTATCCCCTGTAATGGTCTTGCAAGTCTCCAATGGTGCTGTGGCCATGGTCATATGGCACTCCTACCACAGGGCTCACTCCTGCGAGCTTCGAACAAAAATGGCGGTGTTCAAGAAATGAGGCAATACGTTGGATTCCCGCAGGTTTTCGGTCATGTGTTGGATTTCCATCCGGGGTTTTGAGGTGTATTTTGTTCCGCTTCAGCCATCGGGTCAGACGTGTACGTCCGTTTGCATGTCCTGTTTGAGACTTGGACCGCGCCAACAAGATCAGAAGATGGTGTGGCATAAAAGAGACCAAAAAACCATCTGCAGACGTTGGCATGTGGTGTTTTCTTTACGGATCGGTTGGACCCATCTGCTGTTTCTCATGTGAAAGCACAGGAAGGATGCTGGCCAAGACCAAGTCTGACCGCATCAGCGTGGTGCGGGGCGCAAGAAGCGATGAACGGAGGGGTCTGGTGAAGAGACGGGCTGCAGATCCCAACAGGCATATAAGGCATGAGGCATCCATGTTGAAGCAGAACCCAGTCCCAGTCCCAAATCACCAGGTTGCAATTGCCTCGGTGGCTAACTACAGAAGGCTTTTTTTAAATTCGTCGCAGAAAGAAAGACGCTATGGCGCCAGGAGATGTCGAGAAATACGGCTTGGAGCCCATCATGAAGTTAGTTCTACAGGAAAATCCAGTCCATGTCCGATGCTTTGCTCGGCAAATGCCACGAGACCAGCACACGGACGCCATCTCTCGATAGACCAGCGTTTGGTGCATTAGCATGTCGAAGGACCAGCGTTTGGCGCCGCCCCATGTGATGTGGTGGACTTCCGTGCGAAAGTACCGTGCGAAAGAATGTACTGGGTTGGACCACCTCCTTCAGGTGCGAAGGTCACAAGGTGGAGCCTCAAGGTCAGGTGGAGGCTCTGAGACTTTCAGGTAGATTCTCAAGCTTGGAGCTCCGAAAGTCAGGCATGACCCGTGCTTTTCCATCGGAGAAGATCAATTTGGAGAAGCACGGGATGGGTTTTCCTTTGTAGCATGAGCTAGGGCAAATAAGATGACACAGATGCAGCATTAAGATGGGCCTGCAAGCCGTTTCGCAAGCAATGAACAGGGCCTTGTGATCACGCAGTCAAACGAAAGTGACTCAAACAGTTTTGTTTATGACCCAGACATACCCAGACAATCCATGCGACTCCCGATCTATTATTGGGGCGGTTGAAAGGTCACTCTAGGTATATACGGTATACCATTGGTATACCTTCCAGTCCCATCGTTAGTGTCCGGGCTACCGACTGCCTCTCAGGCGACGCTTCTCTCGTCAATGGAGGGAGATCCCAACGAGACCCAGTCGCATGGCCACAAAAAGAGAGGCTCCCCACCGGCCACGTCAACATCGTCATAGTTCACACCCCACGGTTGAGCTGCTGGTTGGACGGATGAGGATCTTACGTAGAAGATTGATGAATATGAGTGGGATTAATTAGCTTGTGTCTGATCTGTGTCTATTTGTTTGGGGAACCTGTCGCAACCCCCAACAAGCATTGGTTGGCCTTTGGCTGGCAATCGAATGATGTTTGCCAGAGGTCAGTCAGATCAGTGCCTTGGGCATATCAAGATTCTCGATGTAGAGACAATAGGATTCAGGATGAATGATCCTGGGCGGGACACACCGTGAGAAACTAGTCACCTGATGCCTTTGTTGCTTTGACCGCTTGCAACCACTGAATTAGAATCTCACTACTGCTTCATCCATGAGCTGTTGAAACGTTACTACGAGCAACAGTCCAGGAAGCATGAGGAAACGGACCTTTTTCATCATAGCACATTTCACCGTCGTCCTCATCGCCGAGGTCGCAACCCTCCCAGTCTTCGGCGAAATCGCCATCACAGCCGGTCTCCGCTCCTTCGGAGACCTTCACCGCACCGTCGCGGGTGGAGCCGTCGCAGCCCTCGTCGCAGCCCTCCCAGCGCCGGGCACGGGCGCCGCCGCTGCCGCCGCTGGAGTCACCCGAGCCGCTGGCGCCGACACCGTCGCAGAGCTCTTCACGCGCGGCGTCTTCCTCACAGCCGCTGACCGCCCCCAGCGCGGTGGGGTCTGAAGTGTCAAGCACGTCCTACTTGAAGCGAAGGCTGTGGGGTGATGGGGTGAAGGGGTTGGAATATCGATATGATTCATGTAACTATATATATATATATAAAACCATTTCCTTGCATTCAGGTCCTATCACTTTACTTTTGGGTCCTACAGCTTCGGGACATGGTCAAGCATGGTACGCTGGCTCCACTTTTTTCTGGCAGGTTGCCAGTCAGCATCCCCACGTAAATCTTGATCCAATGACTATATATCAACACCATAGTGAATGTGTTGGTTTACTCAACAATGATGTGCTCCGCAATGCTTTGACGCTCCGCGCCCGTCCATCATCAGCACAAACACATGGAAGCCATAATTAAGCTAGTAGTAAGCGGTAGTAGGTGAAACCATTTAATTAGCAACTCTTGGCATATACACACATACACACATACCAGGGTTCTTTTCCTACTTTTTTCAGCGCCATTGTGACCATTGGCCAGCTGGTGGACCCCTGAAACATGAGCATTTGCTCAAACGTGCGTTGAGGCTCTCCACTTCCGCCTCCAGCTAATTCAACTTGCTTTGAGGCTCTACACCTATTCAGTGTCCGATTCTGATTGCCTCAGCTTAAGCATACGTTCACACACACAATACTACAGTATGTGTTTTTGTCAACCCTACATATGGACATCCGCAAGATCACGTAAAGCAAAGTTGAAAAGTCATGGATGGGAGCCTTCGTGAGAAAACATTGCCAATTGACTTCAGGAAACTCAAAAAGTAATTGTCATAACTTATAACAGTCCTTCTCGTGGACTTGGTAACACAGGTGGCAAGAAACAATGTCATCCAACTTCAATTTCCCACCAACAGATTGGGACTTCACAGCTTGAACTGCTTCATCACCAAAAATCATATCGGCTTGAACTGAGCGATGCATAGTAGGAATAGGCCCCACTTGGACACCAACATGTGCACGGGATGGTGTGGATTGGGTTCCGCAGGATGTTGCCCTCTTCTTTCCACGCTTTCCTGCACCTAGCTGTGCCAAAACATCAAACCAAATCTCGGGCTTCAAGGCCTTTGACCGCAGTGGAACTAACATCAACAACTGCACTCAATCACAGCCAGGCTGCATTGACTTTCGTTGACCTGTTGAAGAGCGTTACGTCTCTCTTTTGAAGAAACCAGGTCAATCTCTGAGTCTCCAAACACTTCACTCCAAATACTTCACACGACGCGAGGTTTCCTTCTCGCACTTCTTCTTGGGTTTCTTATCGGAGAAAACATGCACGCCCAACGAAGATTGATGCCAAACGCTCCAACACACAAGTGATGTAACAAAATGTAACAAAGTATATATATACCAGGACCCTTGGAGGGTGTCCAATGAACTACCCCACACTACCTATAGGCTTCCATTGGGCACCCCTTGGAGGGTCCTGGTATAGCCTTTCTTGGCTAGTGTTACCGAAGTGTGGATGTTTGAAACTCGAAAACCAAAGCTAGTTTCGGAATGCCTCCAAGCTGTAAGGCCCCACAATGCCCCAAGGATTTGAATTTGCAGACATGAAAGTACAATTCAAAACCGACTAAAGGTCATAACTATATATAGTCAAAACACGTCAAAACAATTCAAGACATATACAACTCAGAACTAGTCAAAACGCCTCAATGACGGTAGTATTTTTCTGACTGAACCCTTCCACTTTGTCGGACTCTGTCGGCTAGCTTGGAACTCATTTCATGGCTAGCTTGGATCGCCATGCAATTCATGCCTTTGGACATCATGCCTTCGTGGCTAGCTTGGATCGCCACGATTTCGTGGAGGGAGCGCAGGTGGTGGAAGCAAAAAACAGCAGAAGTATGGATGCCCATTAGAAGTATTGACCCACACGACCTTGGGACAAACATGGACAAACAGTCAAGCTTAAGCGAACTCAAGAATGAACGTTCTATGTATTCGTTTGAATGAAGGAATCCACAATTCATGGAATCTGCATCAAATTCAAGCTGCAACAAACGGCGTCCCCTGGCAGCAAGCAAACCCCGTAGGCTACGAAGGACATCATTGCCATCGGCCTCCTCATCCACTGAAAAGGTCCCACCTCCATCAAAGGCAGTGGCGCCAGTCTTGCTGATGCGTTTGAAGCCAAGCCAGCCACTTGAGGCCATGTTCCGCCCAGTGCAATTGCTGGTGGTGCATTCACCACTCGCCCCGACGAGTGCACCGATGGTCTTGAAACTTCCAAATCGAACACAAACAATCAGGTGGTTGTGCTCTCCGATGCTCGCTCGGGTCCACCAGCACGTCCATGTCCATGGCCATGGTGGCACAGAGGTAGGAGAATGGTAAAAGGCCAGGTCTAGTCAATGACAATGAGACAGTGAATTGAGCGACTGTGGAGCGTGGAGGTAGTGAATGTGGAGAATGCAGTGACAGTGGATCCATGAAATGTGCAACTGAATGCCATGAAGGTGGAACAACTATATAAATGAATTAATGCAATGCATGAACATGGAAACCGGAGACCTGTCTAAGGCAAAATGCCTGCAATGCACCGCAATCCTCACACCAGATCACCAGAGTCCTCGCCCCCCCACCCGCGCGCTCCCCATCCTCGCCTTTGGAAAAAATGGCCATATTTGCCTGGTCACCGGTCAGGGGTCCAAAGTCATGGGGATCATCCAAACTCATCCAAATTCAAGCTCCAAGGGTTCCTCTAATTGTTCATCATACTCAAGCACCAACACCACCTCCATGTGGTTGTCAGAGGCGTTGGAGCGGTTGAACAAAAGTCGGACGGGCTACTGTGACACCTGAATGTAATTTGATACAGTAGCACCTGAATGTAACAAAATAGCTTAATAGTATATATATACCATTATGAGAGATCTTGGGAGGGCTGGTGGAATGTGGACTTGGAGGTTTGGCATGTATGACTTTATAATCAACAGTTCCAGCCAGCTTGCTAGCATGCTTTGTTCGATGCACTGCAGTTTAAACATCGCCCTAAAACCCGATTTAACCGCACAGGATTCTAACACAAATTCCTGCAAAATCAAACAACCAGTTCAAGAAACTGTTACACCTTGAAAGATTATAATAAGGAGCCACGGAGCAGGAGACCAAAACAGGAGACCCAACGAACACACCAGACCACCAGAGAGGCAGTCCGCCCGCCAGGCGGATGTCAATGTCACAGATATCGCCCAGGAACCGTGGTGACGTTCGAGTGGACGTCGGTGTGAGACGGTGTGGACAGTGACAGGAGCGCAAAGTGTACTTGAGGAGTGGCCCATGGATGTTTGCTGGCCCAACACACGGCCCTTTTCCGTTTGGGAACCCGTGGAGACAGCTTGTCAATGGGGAATTTGTTCAGTCTCAGTACATTACATCTTGATGATGGGTGTAGTTTAAAACGATGGTGGCCAGATGTGTTGCTTAAGCATTTAAGCCAAGCAACGGTTTTGGACATCCAACTGGTGGGACCCCTGAGTAAGTGGCAAAGACGCATCCAAAGAGCGAGCAAGAGAGAGTAGAGAGAGACTATATATAAATATATACATGTATACTGACGCCAAATGGAGAGTTTAGCAGCACTTGAACCTTTTAGGCCAGGCCTTTAAGAACAGTCGCACTAGCCGAAGTGATTGCAGGCTTCGATCACCATGCCCTCGTCCGAAACTCAAGTTCTGTCAAAACGGACAGGTCACTGGCACTGACAAGAACGAGTCTCAATGGTTTGGCATGATTCGGCCCTCTACATTTGAGTTTCTTAGAACTGGATACGGGTTTCCTGATACCAGGCCTTTTCCCTGGCTTGCAACATCAAGCACATCTTGTTGTTCATGTTTTTGGTGAGCTCCCCCCACCGTTCACACGCCCATTTTGTCCACCACAAATTGTTCTGTTTTCAGTGTGTTGGGATGCACAAGGTCGCTGGGTATTTTGACCCTAAGGCGCTGTTGTTGCCCCGTTGTCCAGCCTGAAGGCGACCTTGCGGGTCATCAAGTGCCTCGCATGCAGGTTCCGAGCGGGGACACGACTCCACACCGAAGTGGGGGAACTCACTCCACACCATCGGCATTTTTTTTGTGTTCTTGAGACGTCTCAAGAATTGACCATCCTAGGTCCGCGCGGACTGGAAAAAGGGCAGTACGCTTTTTGCGGACAGTACTAATCTCTTCACCAACTCATCCTGCAAACGTTTGCAAGGGGTTAGCCATTGTTCCATATATTTGTTCCTTGGTTCTACCTCTGCTAGCACATTTTCTTCCCCGGTCCCGAGGTGTCACTGTAGTAACCTGGATCCTAAGACATGGTAAGACCATTTGTTGGATCAATAGCTTCAGAAACTTGGTCCCTGTCAAACAAGATGTCAGATGTGATAGGTCTATCATGTTGAACGGATCCTTTTGTGTCTCAGCCAAGGAATCCCTTCATGGAGAAAGCTCCGAAACCGAAGCAGACGAAGCTGGTGCCTGGGCGGACAAAAACACCGGCCATGCGTGGGACGGGATCGGTGCGAAACGGGTGATGATGATGGTTGGACCAGGAAGACCCACATGGAACCTGATTGCATGGACCTTTGGAAGACCATTTTCCTCTAGAAGCCAGTGGTCTTCAGGTTCCATGTGGGTCTCTTCCAGGGCGTAACGTCACTGAGATGACTCTCGCCCGAGGAACCAATGGCGACAGCGACGTAGTTGGATCTGGAGTTCCCCTTGAATTCAGTTGGTCATTCTGCTCCACAAGTCACTGGGTCAACAAGGGCCACAATGGGTGCCGTGACCCATGATGACCCATCATGACCGGATCCGATAGCAGGAGAAGATTGACACGAGACAATGGTGATCAATCGGATATATGAATCACCTGGAGTTGGTGGGACAAGGTTCTCAAAGCTTGCGAAGCTTGAATGCTGTGAGCCATCCTGCTTTTGCTTCATACTACAGTATGCTTCTTAATGCTTCTTATATCTGTTAAGTTCCCGGCTGCCTATTGCTCAGAGCATGTTTGATCCCTGACTTGCTCAACTCTCTGAGGATTTTGGAGACTTGCTCAGTTTCAAGGGCCTGAACAGGCCGCGGTTTGGGCACCAAGTGTGGGTTGGATTCAGGGAGGACAGCAAGTGCAGGACAGAGATGTGCGCTGTGCGAGCGCCAAGCTGCCGAAGCAGGCTGCCTGGACATGGTTTTCGGATGTGAAAATGGGATGATTGAAGCCTGCACTGCTCAACCGTGGGGGCGACACCGAGCTCGCCTTGGGGCATGCAAATCGGAGTTGCTTCGCAAATCCGAAACGTTGATCTCCCAACAAAACTGATGCTCATAGGATAAAACAGTAAATGATAGTTTCATGTATCAGAGCCTTCAAAACTCTACCTGGACCCTCCTGGCCAGGTGTTTCCACAGATGCCCAGAAACCTGTTGGGTCCCACATGAGCCTGTTGGGTCCTGGTTAAGCTGTAGCTGTGTCTCAATTCCGCGCCAAGCGGCTGTCCAGTTCGTCCCCTCTCGTCCTCTCGTTCTTTGGCCAAAACGGTGAGATGAGACCACCGGAACCAAGGAGATGATTCGCCACTCTGAGCTCCTTCATTTTGCGTATCCAAGTCAAGTCATCGAGAATGAACTCGATTGAGGTTGGGCCCTTCAAATGAACTCGCCCATATCGAAAAATGAAGGTTTCCTCACATCTCAACAATTCTCAACTTATGGAGTTCTTGGTGTGCTTCTTGTAGAAAGATTTGCATCGCATGGTACCAACAGGAATTCTAGGATTCTTTGGTATTTAGAACTTGGGTATATAGATAGGCTCCAGATCTGCTTGGCGGCTTTTAGCCCTCCCTGTTCGCACCCCTGGAGCATGCTTTTGACTTGGACATATCATAAATTTGCAAGAAAATAACACCAAATTGACCATATCTTTGCATACATGGATCATACATGAAGCTTTGGGCCACATTGGGATGGTCATCCATCATCATCCATCATCGTCCATCATCATCCATATTGACGTTTCTACAGCATTCTACAACCAATACAACCCATGGAAATGGGGAAACGACAATCCTCCACACTAAGTTTTGAGCATGTCTCATGTAAACAAAGATGCATACCATGGTTTTGTTGGGTTCTGGGATACACTTGAGTATCATTCGAACTTGTTTTGACAGTCCCTTCACCTTCTCCGTTACTCGAAGCAACACCTGTGTTTGGCCCTCTGCAGGAGAATGTTTTTTTGGGGGAAGCATGGGGAAGCCGTGCACCCATGCACTCACATTCCATATTGCAGCTTAAGTTATGAGCTTCTTTCATTTTTGAGTGCACCGTTGACCTCACCGCCTCAACCCCACCTGGTGACGGACTTTTGGAGGGACCCATGGTCCACATGTGGTGAGTCAACTGCCATGGTCCATGGTTGTATAAGATTGCTGGGGGTCCAGGCCATTGATTCTGATTGATCTTCCATATGTAGCTCAGGTTCAAGTCAAACGGAGAACGGTTTATATAGCTAGCTCCAGCGTATTCGCTCCACGTCCTCCATTTCCTCCATGGTAGAATCCATGTATCCTTCCTGGGCCCAGCCAGCGAAGCAAGCGGCGTTCGAACGGGCCAGCGGCGAGGGGGTTTAGGTTTTGGTTCTCAAACGGTCAAGGATTGTTGGGGTAGGGAGGTTGCTGATCAAGGTCCTTTTGTTAAACCTTTTGAGATCTTTTGAGGGAATCTGTTAATGTGAACGTGGAACTGATGGGAAAGGTGTGGAAGGATGCGTTCGCTTGTTTGTTTTTTAGTTCCCTGAAGCAATGCCGGATAACGATGAGTATTTAATCACGGCTCGCACTGCAACAAAAAAGCTTGGAGAAACCAATTGCGCCCTCTTGGCCGGACGCCTCGCTTTCCGCAAAGAATTACGGTCGCTTGGGGCGTAGCTGATTCCGTGCATTCTTGAAATTCGAGAGATTGCCGTCGAGGGCCGCGGATGCCAGTGGCTTTTGGAAACTCGGTGTTTCGGATTTGATGTGAGTTCTGTGTTTAGGTGGCCAAGAATCTTAGGCACTTCCACCAAGTCCAAACATACCATGACCTTCGGAGGGCTGTCCAACGAAATCGAGTTCAGCATAATAATACTCAATTGATTTATTATACCCTCCGACTCCAAACATACAAACACAGGGCAGGCCATCCACTTCCACTTGATGTGTTCGTCGGAGTGTATATTGTATGCACGGTGCTGGCTGTTGATAGTTGATGCGTGTTGTTGTTTTGTTATGTTTGGGGATAAGCACCAATTTGCCACAGTGAACCACTGCATACCACATGCCACCTTGTAGGTCAGAGCTGTCCCCGAATGGATTGAACACGAGAATCCCCCTGATGGAAAAGTCTGTTGAGAAAACCCATCAAAAAATCGACAAACCTTGATTCTTGGTGTTCTTTCAAAAACCTCGGAGTCATTCTTCTCGGTATCTATATGGTAGCCCCCCAAGATCAGTGGTTGCTTATATATACTGTATATATATATATATATCGATCTATATGAGATCTCTTTTCACAATTCAATTGCAGCGGCCTGGACCCCGAACGGTGTCCTCTCGGACAGATTTTGGGTGGCCAGAAGCTGCCCGTTCCACGTGAAGGCTCCACCGAAAGCTGAAAGCAGATGAAGTCCAAGGTTGGTCCAAGACTATCCCGAGTTCTTTCCTTAAATCGGACAAAATATAGATCTGAGTCATTTGAGTGTTGACCGATATAGATTGATCTGTCCTGTCATACATCGACCATACCCCATCACACCCAGTCTTGGCTCCTCATATGACCAGCGTTGTTCAAGTTGATGTGATAATGTGGCTATGGGTCAAGGAAGTGGCTGTTTTTTTTAACGCAAAAGGGGTCGTGAACTGCGTGTCTGACTTGCTAATGACTTGCGTGCCTGTGAAAGGATGGTTTCATTTCAATCGTGCTGGATTACTTCTATGTGTATCTATGTGTTTGCTTAGAAGGGGAAGACCTCAATAGTAGTGCTGGATGACTTCGGACTTGTTGGGCTCTTAGGACTTGTTCGAGAGAGTTCTTCAATGAAAAGGGCAGTACATAAAAGTCCAAGAGGAGTCCTTCCATCAATTATGATTCTTATTTACCACTCCGCCAGCTGTGTTGCTGGTGGCGAAAGGGTCCAGCGACACAACGCCCTAAGGCATATTTGGAAGTGATTCCTAAGGCATATTTGGTGTGTATTCTTTGGGGCTCGTGCTCGTGCTGGGGAACGCTCGTGTAATCTCAAGCGCATGCCCCAATCCCAATGCGGCCTGGCATCACATAGTGAAGTGGCCTGGCCGACTTCAACTGAAGACGGCGCAGACTTTGCGTGGATTTGGTGTACAGACTTTCGCAGGAATTGCCTGCCTCAATTGATGCACTGCACGACTTGGACCTCGGGCTGTGGAACTGTGTGAACACAGTTTGCCCTTAATTCGTGTGGAGACTCGCTCGCATCCCCTGCGGCGGACCAAAACCAGAGGCATCATGCTGCATGGGACATCTTGTGCAGTAGTAACGGTGTTTTCGGCCTTCTGGTGCAGTATATCAACGTGTTTTTATTGTTTTTTCTCGGGTACGTAACTCTTCGCCACTTGCAGTTTGTTTCGCCTATCATCGCTGCCTTCCTTGAGTCTGCGGGTCCAGGCCGGTCCAGGAACCTGCTGCGGGTTCAACCGAAGAGACCCCAAAACGGGTTGGAAAGCCAAGGTCATCTCCATGGTGACCTAGGGGGGAGTTTTGGGGAATGTTGTAGACTGTTGTAGCTATCAAAAGCCAACTCTGCAAGTTGCCCGGTAACAGCAGTAGACCAGTAATTAGATACCTGGTTGCCCCTGTAAGTATCCCATAGATTACAAAATTGAAACATAGTTTCATGTTTTGCATTACGTCAAATTCCAACCAGTTCCAAGAATTTTCAGGGAAGTACAACAGGATACAACAAGTTCCTCTAAATTGCATAGTGAGTTGAGTTCCAACAAGTTCATGTACAGGGGATTGACTTCGGGATCTAGTCTTTGTGCTCACTATCATGCTCCCCAGTTATCCACTTTTCTTTCGGAGGTCCCCAGTGCAGGTGGCCTGTACTCGAGCGCGCTGCAACTGTGAAGGCTGCCAGGAAGGAATGCGAAGACCAGGAGGATTCCAGTCAATACTGCAGAGCAAATTTCCCTGAAGCATACGATTGGTACCAAAATCGTGGAGACATGTGGAGACCATACCATTACGGGCTCCAATTGTTTACAACAAGTGACGAGTGACATGGATTGCGCATTAACGGTGTTTATCTCATTCTCATTTTTTCGCCTGGAAGGGATGTTATTGGCAGATCCAAAACGACCTCGACCTTGCTGGCTGTCGGTCTTCCAACCACGCATCCTGTTTCTTTCTGATCTCCAGCCAAGGTCAGGTGCGTCATGTAGAGTGCCCACATCCATGAAAAGTCTGAATTCTGCCGAATATTGCCCCCGAGATTCGGAACATTCCTCATCCATTTGATACATAAGCTTGCGTCAACCTCTCAAAAACAGGCAGGCTCGACGTGTCGCCACGCGTGCGCCATGCGTCGGCTGCGTTGTGGGGTGCTGCTGGTGGCTCCATGGCTCACGTCGACGGAGAGCACGACGGGCAGCGAGAGCACGACGACGAGCAGCCACGAGAGCACGAGCACGACGACGCCGCCGAGGTGCCGGGATGCAGGGCATGGTTGACCAGCATGGACCTTCCATGCGGCGAGGGTGTGAGCGAGGGATGGACCCGTGATGGATCACATGCCGCAATCAAGGGACCTCATGGAGTCCACGCGAGTGAGGGATAGTGAGGAGGGGTTTGTCGTCTCATGTCATGTCAGGAAGCCCTCGAGTCTGTTGCGCAGGATCCCAAGTAGGGAGTTGAGATGTGGCCACCTTGTATTGTTCCTCCTGCTGTTCTTTGATCGGACTTGAGTCATGCAATTTGTTTACTTGTCATATCTTGTTTTGCTCATCTCACTTCTATAGAGAACCCACGGAGATTTGAGGAGGCAAAACACTGATGCTGCACTGCTCACTGCTGGTTCGCATACACCTCGCGTTGTTTCGGTGCGACTTTTCCTTCGGTGTCGGTCCCGGCAGGAACATTGAGCCCTTGTGGTTTGAAGCTGCATGGCAAACGAGTTCCTGGAGCGATTGCACCAAGTGTGGATTTGGACGCCCGGCATGGATCGCTGGTGGCTCCAAGGTAGATCGAAGGTAGAGCCGGACGTGCAGAATTGAGATGTTTTCCGATCCGGCGGAATGGTACCGACCCGACCTATACTGTGTTGTTCCGCTACCCAGATGTGCAACACTCGTGTTTGGATGTCAAAGAGCGCTCGCGCATGGACGACCGACGGACGAGCGGACCAGAGCGGCGTGGCCTTGGTCCCGACCGAGGCCATGCACAACTGCGTGAGGTGCAGTGCTTGAGCATTTTTCATATGGCGGAGGTCACAGAGGAGCTTTCGACACGTCAATATAACGAAGACATGGTGAAGCACCAAAGTTCCCTGGGTTCCAAATCCATCCGGAAGGGGACACCTTCCGAATTCCTGTCGTCGTTTCCGTTCTCCGACTTGGAAGGCTTTGGGCCCCAATCCCGCTGAGACGCCTCTTCGGGTGACTTCGCCGGTCGACTCGACCCGCCGCTTCGCCTCGCTGACCGCGCCAGGAGCACTGCAGCAACACGCAGAAGCCTCCCCGGACCAAAGCCTGTCGCTGCGCCCCTCGACCGGTCCCGGGGGGGGTTGAGGGATGTGGACGGAAAGAGAGAGAGTGATGTTTGGGTCCGAAAGGCAGACGCTCCCGTTCCAGTGACGGATTTCAGATGGTTTTTTGAGTATTAGACTATATATGTTTGGTTTTTATGAATGACGTGCTACTAGTATGGGTGCATTCATTCAGAGTTGCTGTTATTCAGGTTGGGTTGCCAGGTTCCTAAGTAAACAAGGGTTCACTAGAAATTAGATCTATATAATAATTAGAACATACTAGAACTCTCCTGCCTCAAATGCGGTGAGATGATGCCCTATCCTTTATCAACCACCACCAGTTAGCTTTGCCAAGAGGTGGTGTGTGTGGGTTCGATGGTCCACCGCCGATGTCATCCCTCACCACGACCTGCTCTCCACCAAGGCCGAGCTGCTTTGTGTTGGGGACCCTGACAGGTGCCCCCAGGAGGAGGCCGAGAAGAGGGTCCGCGTCGCCACGGGGTTCGGGTCGTGAGCCATGCCATCAGAGGCCATCGTTCACAGTACGTACGTGTCTTTTTTGCACATGCAAATAGGACAAACATTTATAAAAACGGTCCAAAATTGTTTGGTGCATCCGAAGAACAAGAACCACTAGCCGGAGTGGTCAAGTCATGCTTTAGACTCTAGACTTCTTTGGACAGATTCTCAGATTCGGGATGGTTGAAACAGCCCGCTTGCCCTCACCCGATGAATTTCTCCAATCCTCTTAAGGTAAAAAACACCTTTGATGGTGCTCGCCTTCAGGTTGAGACATTTTATCCGATCAGTCACGGAATGTCACCCGTCCAGTTTGACGGGTGATCTTTCATGAGGCCCTCCGCACCGAAAGTACAGGCCTTCTTAGCACACGATGTGTGTCCAAAGAGAGGGCCATATATCAGTGGTCGGGGTATTCCCTAAAGGGGGTCAAAATGATACGCGTATGATATGTATGATGTATGATGCCTAGATGAACTTCCTTGAACATCTCTTTGACACGAATCATGAAAGATGTCATGAAACCCTTGGTGACACCATGTGAAACCCTTTTCTCTCCCTGTCGGTACCCGTCTCAGCTTAGCAGCGCCAGCCTTTTCCGGCTCGCCAGGCCCAGTGGTTCGAACCAGAAACGCCCTACTCAGAACTGGGATGCTTCTCACTGGCGCATGGCCACGATGATGGACTGGCACACACACACTGGAATGTCATAGCGAGGGAGTCGTGATTGCTTGATCAAGAAGTCTGTGAATATACAGTAGATGTATATTAATTAATCAAAGTATATTAATTAAACTATATTATATAATACTATATTACGACTGTGCTTTTGAAAGAACTTTCAAACGCTGAGTTGCAAACAACATTTAAAGATAATAAGACACGGTTGTGGGTTTGTGGAAGGTCCCCCAACACCGGAATCTAAGCCGGTCAGCTTGGCTTGCCTTCAGAATTGCACTGTTTGTGCGACACTGAGTGTTCGTATGGACACCAGAGCAACGACACTTTGACGGTTGGATATCCGCACTAAACCGATGGTGTTCGTCTTCGCTTGCCAAAGTAGCTGCATTGGTTGGCGCTACCTGCTGATTCGAAGTCTCAGCTTAACGATGTCAACCCGAAGACGATATACAAGAGGTCACACGTCAAGCTCTTTTCCAAGCACGAGGGCTTTTCCCCAAAGCGGTTCTACTAAGCTTTTGATACGGTGACTTGCGTGAACTCATTTCGGTGTAGCACAAAGACAACCTGAGGTCTGCTAGCCCATTCATTTTAAACCAGACATATACCCTGGAAGTCCAAAACCATTAACAAACATGGCGAACCTGTGTTGTCGTGTAGAATCATGTAAAATCCTCAGTAAAACAATGGTGGTTCGGTAAAAAACACTAAACTAATTGTGGTTGGAAGCCTAGGGTATACCCAGACGATAAAGGACATATTTCGAATTCCTTTACACCTTAAACCAGCCGTGCCGGCACCCGGGGCGCGATCGATCGAGACCAAGCTGTTCAAGCTGTTCGAGGTGCATGACGCCTTTTCCCTGCGGAACACATATGAATAGCCAGCAATAGCCCATTTGTATGCACTCCTGCCCCAAATATGATGGGTAGGTAGCCCTTTAAAGTATGATTTCCTGCATCATCGCCTCCCTAATGGTCCCCTGGAGGACACTCAGACTCACTCCTGGACCTGAGCTGCGTTGGTTACAAAGGACAGTCGGATCGCCGCCGGTGGACGCCGCACGGGTCCCCTGTCGACGTTGACGCCACTCGTGCGCTTCCGAGGATGCCCTCGTGGTGACACTCGTAGCGATGCCCTGGTTACTACCCCGTTCGTAGCGATGCGTGTTCCAACTGGACTTTGAAAAAACACGTCGCACGGACTCAGATGCATCGTGCAGGGGTGCAAGTGCACGGACGGCACCTGTTGGTTTTCCATGTGAGAAAGAAACGTGTGTTGATGTCCATCAGTGATCAGGAAGAATGCCATTGATTGACCCCGAGCAAAACTGGGTGTTTCACTGCGTGCACACTGCGCAGACATGCACGGAAACTCACAGGGGCCACGCCCTGCAAGAGCGGTTTGCCCTTCTATTCCATGCACTCCAATGCCCCTTGGCTCCACCGAGTGACTGCGACAGGTGGTCCGTTGACTTCATGCGAAAGCTGCAAGTACGACAGGTAGTTTTGCCCAAGGTTCATGCAAGTGGGATGGGCCGATGGGCCATGTGTGTTGTTGTTAACAATCAAGTATGTACACGATACACCGTGTTTTTCCATGTATTTCCTGTCAACAGATTTGCTGAGAACGTCGCCTGGGACTACGTGGGACAGGGAAAGCAAATACAGGTATTTTCGTTTGGTAAAACCCATCCATGAAAAAACACACATGAACGTGTGAGGGCGATGTCGCCCTGCGGCCGCCGAGGCGATGTCGCCCTCCCTGTGCTTTGGTTTTTGCACCAGCAAGGCGCATAAGAAAGGAGAAACACGGGCGCGGCCGGCACGGAAAAGGTGCAGAAAAACTGGAAGTGATGTTTTGTTCAGAAACCGACGGAGGGTCAAGATTCCACTTAGTGTAAGTGGTGTACCGAAGTCTTCAAGCATCTTCAAGACGTTTCTGATGTATTTGGTACTGTTTGGTGAACCTGAACCTGGTAAAGGAGCTATTTTTGTAGCTTTTCCTAGCTTCTCCAGCTTTAACCACCCCGCACTCATTCCTGTGCTGCTGCGTGGCTGAGGGCTTCGACATTTTTGGCCTCTTGAAGAACACGGAGTGCCGCTGCGGTTTTTCGGAGATCAATAGGCGGGGCCTCAAGAGAGTTGGCTCAACAGCGGGTCTGACAAAGGAAAGCCACCAAATTGGTGACGATGTGACTTCTCTCACCAGTTGTTTTTGTGGCATGGGCTCCATGTGGTTTCTTCCACACCCTATTTTTGCATTAATTTACAGATGTTACAACTTCAATACACATACCTCTTCCAGGAGGGTGCTCAACTGACTGCTTAAAAGATACTTAAAAGTATATGTGTATTATGAGTCAGCATGAGAGGCTGAACAAAATTGCCACAATGTGTGTTTGTCAGATTTCTACTGATTTTACCCTTCTGATTGCTATTGTTTTCGCTGTGTCTCTAGCATAGCCAGAGCTTTCCAGTTGCAAGATCTTTGTTTCCTGCATGTGATATTTCCTGGGGCTGGGGTATGTTTTGAACGTTCTCCTTGAAACACAGTCAGCAATGTGCCTAATTCGGAAACCCCGGGCCATTGAAACCGTTGAAGCCGTTGAACCGTTCCGATGTCACCAGGAATGCTCGCATGAGGGGTCCCTCCGTGCCGCAGCTGCAGTTCGAGGCGGCTTTCGGGTCACGGCGAGTCACGCAACGCCGGAAGCGTCGGGTCACCGCGTTGCGCGGTGAAACCGGCGGCTTCGCACCGGTGGGAAGATGTGACCAACCAGGGCCCCCTCCTGGAGGTGTCTATAGCTCCTTAGAGCTTAAGGGGTATCAATTCCATGTCACCGGGGGCCTCCGGGTCGTTGCCCGAGGCCAAAAGGACATGGCCAACATGGAATTGTCATTGCACGGTGACATCGCTGTTGGCAAGAGGACCACGTCACCATACTTTACTTCACACTTGAAGGCTTGAAGGCTAAGGCTTACCCTGCTTCACCGATGTTGATGATTTTGTTTCATATACGGTGTATAAAGTGTTTCTGGGGAAGCACCTATGGACGTTTTGCATGCTTTGGTTCGATCGCTTCCCGCCAGTTGGCCGGACTGGAGACGTTCAAAGATGCGTCAGGAGACCGTCGACCGACGAAAGATGCCATAGCGCAAACGGGCGTTGAGGATGTCACTTTTTGTTCCGGTTGTTGCTGCAGCGGCCTTTGTTGCCACGGCTGAGAAGTCCAGCTTTTGCAGGAATTTGCCCCTTGCGCGTCTTCCGGTACTCCGGATATTTCGAAGCGGGAGGCATCCCCATGTCGTGCCTTGGGCCTTGGGGGGAGCAAGGTGCCGGGACTGAGGCCGACGGCACCAAGCAGAAACTCCTGTTCCTTTGACTGTGGAATCATAAGGACGCCTTGCAGAACGATATCTATACACCTGGACCCTCCTGGCCAGGTGTTTGCTGGTGACAACTACTGCCCAAGAAACCACCTGTTGGGGTCCCACAACAGCCTGTTGGAGTGTCCCGGTAGTTATGTACTTCCCTTTTTGTTGGTCGGGCGGGAAAGTCGACGTCACGCCTCACCTTTGACATGTGTGTGTGTAGAGCAACTCTGTTTTGCATTACAGTAGTATTTTTTGTTCTGCAACTTAAGTGTCAAACTCTCCGTTTGGTGCTGTAGCTTCAAACCATCAAACTTCACTAGAAAAGGTCCATACGATCTACCCGTGTGGTAGTTGATGCCTACCGGCCTGTACTTGTGGTTTATGAGCAGGTTTCCATGTTGCCAACTCGTTAGGACTTGATTGCAAACCAAAGTATTTTACAGTGCTTCACGAACAGCCGTGGAAATGGAACACGATTGGATACCAGCCTGCCGAGTGGGGAAGGCATCACTATCCACAATGCAGCGGGCCCTTCTTAGCTACAGAACCCACAATAATGCCCCCATCCACTCACAGTGAAAAGCACTTCTTGACAAGACTCCCCCAAGTTGATGTTGAGGTTCTTTCACTCCACCACTAATTTTGTGTTAACCTGTTCCAAGGTTAGTGAAGCTCGAAGAGGACGATCTGCAGTACTTTCACAAGGCGCATCCGCTGGTGTGGCTTGAGTGATTGTTGTCAAAAGAATCGCGTCGATCAATTCGCTGGAACCACCAATGAAGCGACCACTTTGGTGTTGCGTAATCTCCAATGATTAAGACATAAGACACTTCGCACATGCGCACGCAGGCACACGCAGACAGTCCTTGGAGTTGTGGCACGATAGATCCAGTCTCTAGAAGCCGGCGAAACCAGCTTGTAGTTCGCCTCCAGAAGCCTGTTGGATGTGACGAACCAGTCGAAAGCCGCAGCACGTCAACGCTGGTTGTCGCTGAAGAAAGACAGTAGCTGAGCCCCGAGCTCACCCAGTAGCTGCTCAACACATGGGAAACCCAGACGCCGTGGTTGTTGCATGTTGTTGCAATAGGGGCAGGCGAGGAACTGCGAGTCGAAGCGGCTGCTGTGCCACCAGACTTCGCGGCTGTTGTGCTCACCCCACACAAAATCAAGACGCATGTCATGCTTTGCTGGAGGATGCTCGAAGAACATTTTCCATGCCCAACTGTTCATTGCATGCTGAAGGAACTGCTCGGCCAGCAAATACCCAGATGTTAGGAGAACGCAGGAGAACAGTCCATTCAGGATCACTAGAGGACGGGTCAAACTGACCAAGGAAGTCAGGGGTGGTGGCTTTGACCATTTTAGACTCAGATCTTTCAAACCACTTCCGCTGGATGAGGTGCAGCACTAGCACCCTCCTCCATCCCGTGCTCCAACTCGGCCAGGTCTTCCACAGCCATCAGCGAGACATGGAGAGTGGGAATGGGATGGAACGGTTGAACATAGGCTGCAGGCAAACCACTCAAGACAAGCAAAACAGATGGATCCACAGCCTCGTTGACCACCGAATATGAACGGAATAGACTACCTGGGAGGTTAAGCTACCACATTTTGTGCAGCGAGTTCGGCACTTCTTACGCGTCCCTTGCCCTTTGGGTGGGTACGGTAAGAGTGAGGTAGTCGTATTGTTGACTAACAAAACGCAAATTACATCAAATATCATTGCAATTTAAAATGAGTACCACGCGGTACTGTATCTTGCGAATCAACTGCTAATTTACACAGACGGCGCACCCAAAAAGTGTGGGGATTCTGCACCCCGAAGAAATCGCAATTAGCCCTCCAACAGCGATTGTTATCACATGTGTTCACGTCCAATCGCACCTTTGCTAGAAGGGGATTTCCTCCATATCCTCATGATCAAAAATCGGCACTTGGGTGTACATGTTGTTTGCCTGCTCAATGCATTCCCTTGATAAGTCTCCCCAACTTTGTTGACAACTGGTGCACCCTCGCTCCCGACTTACGACTACGAATCGCTTTTCTGGGAGGTCTTCAAATTCTGACCAAAGATGGATAATATATATATAATATACATACGTACAGTCTTTTGTCTTTTCTCCAAGAGCCAGTCATTTCTCCACTCCAAATGGAACCTCCACATATAGGTTAAGTTTCTTACCTGTTCGATCCTGTTGTTTTTGTCCTCTTCGACCCATGCGACATCCAACTCGATGGCGATCTCGAGATCCAACGACCGACAGCCAGGACGAAGACGTGATCTACAGCACGCATGCGCCCACCTCTCCGCACCTTGGAGTGGGAAAACCACCAGCCCCGCCTCACCGGCCCTGGCCGGCCACCCCGCGCTGCCTGCGCGAAACAAGCAGTTAGGCCGTTGGTTTTGGACGACCCGTTGGGTCGCGACACATGACTCAAAAAGACATGGAGGAAGTGATTTCTTCGAAGAGGATGGCTGTTGACATGGCTGTTGCCACGCAATGCCATGTCCTTTTGTCGCTCCACGAGTTCCCGCGGCATCTTGTGCCATGGGCATCCATGGGCGCCATGGGTCTGTATTTTCATGCCTGTATGGCCGCCTATACTTTTGTTATATGGTTTTCTTCGTGTTTTGTTGTTCTTTCTCTGGACCACTTTAGACATGTTTTTCCTTTAGATGTCGATGTGTATGTTTGGTTTATCATCCCCAAGGATCCACCTCCCCAGTGTCGTGACCAACACCGTACCCGCGCCCGAGGCCGGCCATGGACGTCCGCGCGGAGTCGGAGCCGGTCGGTCATCCTTGGGCCGCTCGGCGTGTCGGTCCGGCGTTGGGCGCGGACCACGGAAGGGGAGGGGGTTGCGAGGGTGGCGATGGCTATGTGGAGAGAGAGGATCCAAACTAGGGCTTTGCACTAAAGCATCTTGTTTTCTTGTTTCTCCTGACATCTCAGAACAGTTACAGCGGAAATGAGTGGCTCTTCAACCTGAAAGCAATTGTCGTCCTGCACCATTTTGTTGTGGGTTACATGGTGGATCAGTAGATCATGGATGATCATGGGGGGAAATTACTTGCACATGTTGAAGTGTATGACATCATTTGCAATGTACACTCTTCTATATCATATGCAGGCCACGACGCACGCCTTCTTTTCGGAACCGCGTTCGGTTCGGCCCGCGAGTGGGTCCTCGCACGGCTCCAGGATCGCGATTGCTTCCCCGCGAACTGTGGTCCTGGTGGTGGGGTCTGGCCCCACCGGCAGCCTGAGGCACCCGAAGGTGCGGTGCCACCACCGGGCAACGGCGGCGTCCTGGGGAGGGGAGAGCCGAAGGCATTGGGAAGGCTGCCTGAACTGGTCCCTGATATTTGGTACTCATACTCGCAAGGACTTGTGAAAGCTTGCATGGCCCCGATTGGGCCAGAATGCGCCGCCCAAAGAACACATCATTGTTTAGACAGTACCATCCAGATTAGCATCCAAGGGTGTGGTTCTTGGGCATTGCCCTGTGGTTGGAGCAAGCAGCGTGCTGGCGCCAGGTGTTTATGACCAGTTCCGGGAGTATTCCGTCATCCCATACTTCTTTAGCGAGAATTTGGACGATGCGCGAAAGGAGCCGTTTTAAAAGCATGTCATCAAGGAGAAAAGCTCAAACGAGTTTTTTTCTACATGAATCTATTCTACTTTTGAATATTACAAATACAGTACTTATAATACTTACTATTAGGTGCTTATCATATTTTAAGGTTCTTATTATTCTAATATTGTTAATTACATTATAGGTTCTTCTAATATACACTTCTAATATACTGGGGGTTGTCATATTTTGATCCTGATGTCACGATTGGGCTATTTGGACGATTTGAGCGATTCCGCCCTGCCCTGCGGCGGCCATCCTCTCCATCACTTGTAAGGGGCGCAGAAGAACGGCCTCCCGCCTGGTCCGAATGTTGCGAATCGGAAGACAGGAAGCAAAAGCAACGGCCGGTGGAAATGGCTTTGGCAAACTGGAGTTGGGGAAATCACCTGTCTCCCACCTTTGTACTCGGTAAAGCGTGGGACCTGCCAATGGTATATAGCTTGTGTGCGAGTGATCTTAAAGGACGAATCAGCAGAACATGGCAGGAAGGAGATGGGAATGTACTTCGCACCTGTGTGGTTTCCTGTACTTGAGGTAGAGCCCTACCCTGTCAGTCGATAACCTTGAAGCTTTTTGGGCCTAACGTATCATCTAAAATCATCTAAAATCCCAGGTGGAAGAAGGTCAACTTCTGATTCTATATTCCAGGGAAACCGAGGGGGTCAGCTGGGTCTGAGGTCTCTCACAGTGTCCAACTTGAGAGAAGATCCTCATTGCCAACGTACGGGAAGAGCTATGGAACACCCTTCATGACATTGAAGCCATTTCCTCTACCAGCGTGGGTTCCACCACACCGGTGGGTCCCTTGGGTCCCCACGGCACCGGCGACACCGGTACGAACGGTACGGCGGTACGGCTGCCGGTCCGCAGGAGGTCTTTCGAACGGCGGCGCGTCATTGGCATGCGGTCACGTGTGTCGTCTTGGTGGAGAAACAGCGAGAGGAGATTCACGAGCCAGCCATCGAGGCGGGGATGGGCAGAGCTGGGCAGAGCTGGAGCAAGATTGTAGTGAAAAGAGCAGAAGAACTCAGAAGAACTGTACCAGCAGTAGAGATGGTGTAAGGTCCAAGAGGTTCTCCTTTTGGTCCAAAGGGTGACTGTAAATGGATGTAAATGGATCTTTCATGAGACTGCTGGCTGCCCCCCCTGGACTGCACCCCTCAGCAAGATAGGGGTGAAAACAGGTGCTCCTGTTCTTACGTCCCAATGAAACCGGTATTGAGGCTAATATCGCAACATATCGCATTCGTAGATGCCTATGTGTGTTTTAGAATATTATAGAAAATAGAAGTTATTTAGACGTAAATTAGTGGCTCAATATGGTCAGGTGTTTTCTGGTCTTGGGACTCTTCAGGCCTTCATAAGCCTTTCTCCTGGGGTGTGCGGTCGGCGCCTCGTTTTTGAGGCGGACTTTCAGATCGTTTCGGAACGCGACTGGTGGATCGTTTTGATCGTTTTGGGCACGTTCCACTCTGTTTCTATTTCTTTCCACGCTTTCCAGCCAGCAGGGTATGTTAGTTGGTGGTAAAGAAGCTTCGCCCCCCCCCCAACCCACCCACCCACCCGCCCGCCCGCCTAGCCACCCACCACCCTGTTTGTGTGGTGCAGGTGGTGTGTACACTAAATCGTTTATTGACGATTCTTCAAGACAAGCCCTCGACCCAGTACCATTTGCATCCCTTTGTGTGTTCTTTTATGTTTTTGTTGGGGTATGCTTTTCGCAGGCAGCAAAGTCTTTCCCACGGTGCGTCATGTCAAAGTTGAAGATGGGTAGTTTCTAGATTCATCTAGATTCTATGTTCCTACAACTGGAAGAACATCGATTGCACGGTTGAAGGCAAGGATGCCGCGTCCGAGGCCAATTTGTGAGTTACCCACGTTCAAGTCGATTTTGTAAGGAGATGATGCCATGGGTGAAGGTATACTAATATTTTTGGAGGGTGACGTAACTGTGATTTCATATATAAATAAACCAAGGTTCCTACCTTCGTCCAGGCCCAGCATGGCCCAGCCATTGCACCGAATAGGCCAACACTATCCATGGTGTGTTCACCGCTGGGCCAACGGCGTTTCTCCCCGTTGGTTTCAACGGGACCGTCTTCGCACGCCAGGTGCTGGTCGACCAAGAGGACCGTTGCTTCGTGAACCGTATCGGTTACCCTGGCTACTGGGAGAACCAGCCGCAGCTCGCGTTTGTGAACCTAGGCGGACCATTCTCCTTCACGCCGCGGGAGGAGAACGGTTGGTTGGGGGAGGAGAAAGGAACAAAGGAACAAGTGCCGCATGGATTTCACCGCAAAGCTTCGCTTCAGCACTGTGCGGTGCCATCCATTGGACCACTCAACGACCATCCAGTTGGTGAAAGCGGTCATCGACGGACGACCGTACGACTCGACCCTCCCGCCTACATCGACCCGTGTCCGAAAAGAGGGGACGTATCCAGTGGATGTTTGGGGTTCCTATGGGTTCCTATAACAGTTGCAATCCTATAACTGCAGCGGTCAGCTGGGTTCCCTGACACACGAGATTTTTTCTATGTCATTGGCCGCCGTTGGATGACATCGTTTCGAATCAGCGATGCTTGGAGTGCTTGGGACCTTCACTCGACAGAGAAAAGCTTGATTGCGGCAGAGAAAAGCTTGATGCAACACAGACTCTCAGTTTCATACCCAAAGACAGCAACTGACACTTAGTGTGCTTCCATTGTTGTGAGGGGATTCAAATCAATGCAATTCGACAAATATCGCTCTGCGCAGCGCGCCTTCTGAGTGCCTTTTGCTTGCCTTCAGCGCGTGTCGTCTTCAGTGCAGGCTGGTGCAACAACCTGTACTTCTTGGGGAATGTCATCCATGAAATTGGCCATGTCCTGGGCATGAACCACGAGCATCTTGATCCGAGACGCGACGTGGGGGAATGTCAACGAGCGAAAGGAGCGTCCAATTGCAGGCAGCAGGAACGCCCAATCTGGGCAGAAAGTCATCAGGGAAGCCAAAGCAACCTGGGAACTGGAAACACGTGGAAACACCATGCCTCAGCTGACACTCCCAAAGAGTTGAACATAAGTGCGTGATTCATTCATCCATTAAAATGTCATTGTTTGATGCCACATATCACAAGCGTTCTGACGCGCAGCGCCTCCATCGAAGGGTGGAGGCACGATACACAACCAACAGTCCATATCATGCAAGAAGGACTCTTATTTCAACATGGTTCTGGATTCCACCGGTAGGAACTTCTGCGGATTGTTTGGTGTATTCTCCCTAGGGATGAGAAGCCGCAGCTCGCCGATGAAAGGGCATTGCCCACTTGTAATATGGTTGAGGTTTACACCGGTTTTTGCCCCCTAGCTGACTCAATTCCCAACTGGTGATTTATACAAGGCTTGACTTTGCAATATCATGCAATATCTTTTTTTTTGGGGGGAGCTCTGTCGGGAGGTTGACCTCAAACAACTCCATAAAAAGGGACCTTCCATGTTTTTCGGGAACCAGAAAGCCGGAGCCCAGTTTTGTTGCCTCGTTTTGACCAAGGTATTTGAATGTATTTGAAATATTTGTAAAAGTCAGTATAAAAGCCCCAACGAGGCTTATTAGATAACGAAGCCTTTGCCTCGTATTTCAAAAAGAATTTATAATATCTATCAACCCCCAACGACAATGCTTTATGAGTTTCTTTGTCATGACGCATCAACTCAGTGTGACAGAAAGTACAACTATTAAACAAAGAAACGTGTAAAACCAGACCGTGTCCCGTACAACACCGCCCGCGGTGTTGTTGCGCCTTTCCTTGCGCGGGGACAACCCGCCGCGCAAGGCAAAAGCGGATGGATGCAACGCAGAAGGTGAACCATCACGGACCGTACCTCCACATCTTTTGGGACTCCCTGGACCGGGTGGCAGTTTGTGAACGCACGGGAGAGGCATTGAGTGAGAGTGAGTCTAGTGGGGAGAGACGGGTTCAGCATCCAGGAGGTGATTTGATATCATTGAGGTGGTTCTTAGGATATACAAAGGTGGCTGATGATTAGAAGCTTTTCAGAATGTGAGTGCCATTCCTATCCATTCATGGCATTAAGTAGGTCTTTGGGAAGTCCTTTACACAACCACACTGTCGCAAGCTGTTTGATGCGCGGACTGCTGCACGTGCTCAGTAAGTCTCGCTAGTGCAATACGTAATTGTGCGCAGAGTGTTTCAAGAAGCTGACTCCTCATGCTGTGGCTTGGAAGGTAGACGACACTGTGAAAGAGGTGAATAAACTCAGAACAATAGAACTACAGCAGACTGGGTCAGAGGCAAGCATCGCAAGCATCACCTGTGCAGGAAGATCAGACAAAGAGAAACCAGTACTTGCCGGATACGAAAACCTACATGGGCAGCTTGACCTTGTGTGGACTGCCTTTTTGTTCAAGGAAATGACCTTGCCTCAGTGGCCAAATGTAGCGGACCACCACATGTTTGGGTAGGTTTCTGGGATCACATTGTACGCTGTTTGGTTCTCGTGTAGATGAGGTTGCCATATTTAAATATGTGGCCATGTGCATGAAATGCCCAAACCTTGACCACTGAACTGTGATCAACAAATACACCTCCAAATCCTCCAGTTCAGGCTCAGAAGCCTTGAACGAATACTATCGCAGAAAGAATATGTTCCCTCAAGTTCTCAAGAGAAACAATTATTCTTGAGAGGTTGGTCTATAGGTACGCACAGCACTGCTCAGCGTTGGCATCGTCCATGTCTCACAGGACCGTCGGCGACGGGAGTCGACTGGAAGGGGTTTGCCAAGAGGTTGACCTCCCCGGTAACTTAGATTGGCTAGTAACTCTTGCAATCAACATGTTACATAAAGTAACATTGGTTTGTAACCAATTTTTGTCACTACCAAAGATTCTGAGGTTGACTAGCAACATGGAACCTGAGAATGGAGTCGTGGTTTCGACCATGGTCCTCTAATGGAAAAACGAGTGGGTTTGGGGTTCCATGTGAATCTGCCTGCAGGGGTTGAGCTTGCATTTGTCCAAGCTGAGTTCGGCTCCAGGGTTGGACCTACCAGTTTTTCCTCGGTGATATGACATCTGATGATGTTTGTTCGGATGTTTCGCTTCTGTTAATTCATCAGAGTCGGTTGCCAAACTTGAATTGGAGTACTAGTAGAATATGATGGCTTATGATGGCTTGGACCCTGGAAGACTGAGTGTACCCCATCGTGCCGGCCTTGTCCAGCGTTATTGGTGCGGCACGACCGTACTACATCATACGAGATCATGGTTTGAACATGATTGAACCAGCATCTACTACCCTACAAGATCATATGACCCACCGCTTATCGCTCAAGGGATCGCGCTCTGTCACACCGACCATCCGTCACCCAAGCCGGCCATCCGTCGCACGGGGGCAATGCCCGGGCGGAAACGGAGTCTCTAAGGCTCGGATTTGCAAGACATGGATGACCCACATCATGGCTACGCCGCGTACGACTACGAACCTCGGGCCGCGGTTAGGGCCGCGTTCTCCTTTGTTTTGTTTGTGATTTGGGAGGGCGGCGGTGGGCAGGGGGCGGCAGGTGTTTCCTCACTTGGGGGCTGTAAGATATTGTGAAGATGAATGGACGTGGAATTCTGTGGATCAAAAACTATTGGAAACTATTGACTGCCTTTTGGGGGGAGATGTTCAACAGAAGTTGATTTAGTTGCTTGCTATTCTGATGTGAACTACAGAGCCCCGCGGGGTTTAAGCCACACCCACGTGTACACGGTAGTTGGGACCCATTCTTTGCTCTGAATCTGCGAACCTTTGTTCTCCGGTTTTGTGGTTTTGTTACTCTTTGTCTATACAGAGAAATCTCACTTAAACTATGGAGATCCGCATGGGAGATGTGCTGCCCAAAAAAAACCGTCGATGCCTATGGATTCGGAGGAGTTCCAGCAACCAATATATGCTAGTATATATAATATATATAATATACTGTATATATACATTGACATGTTTAAATATAAGTTATACAGTATATGCAATATATATATTTATAATATATATATATACGTAATGAATTGATGTACAATATAATACAATGCGCTCCAAAAGTCAAAACATACACTTACAGTAGGTTTTGCCAAAGAACGCGCGGCTTTTGGACGGTTTTTTCTTCCACCTTCTGGTGGAGGGACATCTTGAGAAGGTGAGTTGGAGAGTTGCTGATCTGTCCCAGCAACAATGCATTTTTTACATGTAACTAGGTCCAGGGCGGATAGACGGCCGTGGGGTAATGAAGGATGGTCGTGGGGTAATCAATCTACAGCCTCATCAAGATGGCATCGTTCTCACTCGATTGAGAGCTTTCCTGTAGGATGTTCTCCGTGGACACCAACCCCAAAAAAACGGAGACGTCGACGGAGCTGTCGGCCCGCTGTTCTGGCGGTCAGCGCGTAAAGACAACTCTGAAAGATACTAAGAGGATGACCTACGTAGCACCGATTTCCCCGAAATGCACCTGATCATCAATCTTGATGGTGACATCCAATGGAGTCTCGTCTTCCTCCTCGTCCGTCAGACGTAGCGAGCGTGACTACGTCGAGTCCTCGCTCGTTGGTGCGTCCATTTGCAGGGCAGCATCATGCACTATGGTCGGAATGGACGCTTTGAGCCCATCATGGATGAGAATGCCGAAGCCTGGAGATTCCAAACACGTCTGCTGGGGCCGGTCGGAATAAACGAGACCGATTAGATTCTCGAGGAAGGTCACCAGGGAGAATCATATCCTGAAGTGATTGGGATCCTTTGGGGGGGTTGCACTCTGAAGCACTGGATGATACAAGATGGGTTGAACTACAAAGAACTTGTCGTGAGGGCAAGTGATGTTACTTGCAGACAGACATATCACGTAGATGTTTTTCTTTCACCCTGGTACGCCAAAGTTTATGGGCGTTGACCAGACAACGTGATAAGTGGTTTTGCCCAAAGGACGATTCTTACACAGCATCGGCAAAATGCCCAAAGCACTGAAGACTCAAGGCATTTTAGGACATGGTACATGAAGTGGTTGACCCAATAGATAAAACTACTATAGAAATCGATTGGTCTGTAGAGCAACAATGTAATGCAGGATTTTAGCTGCAGCTAAACCCACCCTTAAGTTTATGTTGTACGATTACGTTCGCAGCAAACCTTGAGCAACTTAGGAGCTCTTGGGGAATCGTGACCACTTGTCAGAGTCCGATATCATCCAAGTGAACGACATGTACCAATGCAAGGCGCTTTATGCCCACGCGCGTGTCGGACACTGGGCGGGAAGATGAGGTGAGCTGCGGATTTGACCGACTGATTTGACCGACAGAGGGTTGTGCAACAAGGGTGTTCGTGAAAAACAGAGGCACAAGGGTGGTGCAAGAAGGGTGTTGGTCAAGGGCGTTATGCAACAAGGGTGTCGGTGGAAGAATACCTTGTGGACATTTGTGGACTCTATTCAGACGGGTGTTCGTGACAACAAGGTATTCTTCCTCCACCCGTGGCCAGGAGAAGGTCACGCAGGAGATGGACCGGAGTTGCAACTTCGAGGCGAGCAGTGGAAGTTCGGGGGTCCACACTTGAACCATCACCCTCAAAAGAAACCTTAAGAACAGCTTAAGGAATCCAATAGCGTTGTCCTCCAACCTAACAGCGATGGCCTCCAACCTAGCAGCGATGGCCTCCAACCTACTGGCGATGGCCTCCAACCTAATGCACTTGAACCAGCACTTTGGAGATTCTTCCCAATCCCGAAGCCTCCACAGCCAAGAGGAGCAGCCTCCTTGGAGATCGGAGTTTTCACATGAAGAACCCATTGGGACGAATCCGACGCATCGGAGTTGTGAAACGAACCAACATCCGGGGTGGCCGAGCCACTCGCGCACATTGAGCAGGTGAAACATGCCGGAAGCGCAGGTTTGATGTGTTTTTTTCACTCATGAGCCTTTGTCCAACTTGCCTGTATATTGGTGGTACCAATAGCCTAATTAAATGTCCAAAGAGCCAGTAAAACCTGGTCCTTCACTTCCTTGAGGAGTGTATTTGTATATGACAGACTGCAGTAAAATGAGGTTTTTGACCTGTAGGGATATGTACTGTACAAATTACCCGCTGATCCAGCAAACTTAAGATGCGCTCCCATCAGGTGGTAATACACTGGGAAATGAGAAATCCCATGGGCGGACGAGGCAGAATCCGTCCTTGTGAGACACGGAGTGATGTGATTAAGGCTCCCATGCCCGTTTGTTTGGGAAGGTGCCGTACTTCAATTAAAACTCCCTGTCGATCGGCAGCCCTGGCAGTTTGATTACAGTCCCAGAAAGATGTGATTCACGATATTAGCGATGGCCTTCACCCTAGCAGTAGCAATGGCCTTCACCCTAGTAGCGACGGACACGCCATGCGCAGGTGAGTCTCTGCAATTGGGTCAACGTTGGAAAGGACTCTGCCACTTGGACGCCTGCAGAGCCTGATCCCGTGCCGTGCACCTGTGTACCGTCCTGCTTCGATCAGATCTTGCATGGCCTCACCTGCCCAAAGACCAGATCTTGATGAACACATGGTTGTGCTCCTTTGAGACTATGATATGTAATATGTCTATGTATTATGTTTCATTGTAATGTATCTACAGTATATAAGACATTATACTTTGATGTGTCCTCGTTCAAGATTGACATTACTACTCTATTTGCATGCATTTGAAATTTAAACATCGCTTGACTGCTTGACCTTCCATCAACTGAGAGACCAAAGAGGTGGAAAGTACTTTTTTGTGTGTGTGTGTGTTTAATGGATGCACACCCAACACTTCTAGACACATTCATATTATATATGTTGTATTGATTTGTGCATAGTTTGTTTACAGTGTGCTGAGGGGCCTTACAGCATAGTTTGTGTGTATCCATATACTCTCCTATATGCATTAAGAGGAGAAGTGACATCCCCAATGAAAGGGTGTTTAGTCGATTCATGCGGGGTTTATCATGCATTTGGATTCCGAAGCCAGTGGTTTCTGGAGAAGTGCAGTCTGTCCAAAGATGAAAACCAAAGGGACAGACATGGACAAAGAGAAAACACTCATGGACTCATGGACATGCGCCTCGTGTCCTGAAGTGTTGGGTCTAGTTGTTTGTGTTGTTTGCGTTTCTGTCTTTCTTTGGTATCCTTCAGTACTCGGTCCCCGGACATCTCTGCAACAAGAACTGATTCGACTGGTTTAAAAGGTATCGCCTGGCCACTATTAGTACTTTGCTTCCATTGCCTTCAGCCACTTTGGGGGAGCCTGTTGCTAAGTAATCAGTCAATCTCTGTATACAAGTACCAGGGTTGAAGGCGCATGACAAACTGGTACTCGCTTTTTGGTTGATCTATAATCTTGGACCTTGGACTTTCTTGGTTTTCTGACCCGTAGTTTTCCACGACCACGCTAAAATCCGCTGGAACAACAACCTGGGGTGCCGTCCTTCTCCGGTGCCGCCGGAATGGCCATTAAATGTGTGTTTCTTCGTCAGACATGGCTGTCTATCACGTCCCTGCGGAGACGGAGACGGCAACGCGACCTGAGGAGCTTGGTTTTGAGGTTTTGGGCTCCATGGAATCCGATCTGACACGTTCCCTTTGGTTGGCCGAGGCCCACTGGCGGCTGCGGCAGCACCGCTCCGGCGGCCCCGCGAGCGGCGTCCACTCCTCGAGCTTCGCCTACGCCGAGGCGCGGTGCGCGCGGGCCGTGGCACGGCGACGGGTGGAGGCGGTGAATTTGAGGGAGAAAGCATGGCTGTGCTTGGTTGAATAGGTGATTTGAACATAGTTGAACCATTGGAACCATGGGTTAATCTTTTCAGTTCTTCCAAGTAGTCCCTTAATTTAGTTCTGCCCGATAGTTGCTGCCAGCTAGCGATGACCTACGCTTCAGATAACACAACGGCAGCTTGGCAGACCCGCGCCTTGACTCAAGCCTATAATCCGGATGATATCGGAAAGCCGGCCTCTTCCACCTCGCATAGCTTTGGAATCCATTCACCCGAATTCACCCATAAAACCGATCACTCAGGACCGGGGCGGTGAGGGGTTTCACCCTCCTCGCACCGCCAGGCGAAGGGTCATCCCTGGGAGGCCCGATGGTGTCGCCCGGCCGGTCAACTCACGGACTGCTCGTTGGAAACGTGTTCAGACGAGCCATGCAGTTGCGGCGTGGATAGGGTTGCAAGCTTGGACATGTTGGTTCCATTGTTTTTCCAGCTACAGAACTGCAGCCTGTTGGAGCGGTGAACCATTACTATCACGACGATGATGACTACTGCTGCTGCTGCTGATGCTGCTCTCAGCTTGGCAAACACTCACAGAAGCTTGAGAATTGGCTGCCAGGGCTTTATCCTGCAGAGCCCCGTGCTGGAGAAGTTTAAAAAGTACCAGCTTCGCTTCTCGCCACTCGGCCGAGTTCGGTCAGACCGTGTGTTGCAACGAGGTCTCAGCACGGCTTGTCTGGTCTCAGCAGAAAGGTCTTTAACGCTTTTGTCTCCAAGGCATACTTCACAGACAGTTCATGAATTTGGATAAAATTTGTGTTAATGACTCGCGCCATTATTGAGCACTGCAATAGCATGCAATAGCTCTATTTTTAGTGTCACCCTTCCTGAATCTGCGTGGGTTCAGGTGCTCTCACCCGTGCCCCTGCCATCAATGCATTTTGTGGGCATGTGTTTCTATCTCGTTACAGAGAGCTGTACAGTGTACAGCAGCCATTTTGGTTGTAGCTTGATCGCACAAATGCTCACTGATACTGGTAGTCCATGGCCCAGCTCATGCCAGGTTCGCAGCGCCATTGTTTCCCGTATGAGACGAGTCTGTTTCTTGGGATCCTTGTACAGTGCTGAGAGCTTCATTCCGCCTTCAAGGTATTTCCTGTCTAGCAAGGACACCGAGCTCACGGTGGAGTATGAGGCGTTGGGGTCCATGAGTTGAGTCTCGGGACCGACATGATGGATTTCTTGTTTTTGGAATGGGGGCTTGCAGATATATATACATATATACTACTCGTATTTTATTGTATAGGTGTTTTGTTCTTTTGCTTGGCATGACTAGTATATCACTACATACATACATACATTACATTACATTACATTACATTACATTACATTACTTACATACATACTAATACATACATACATAAATAACACAACATTGTACAACTGATCAAAGTTGATCAGTCCCTTCAAAAGCAGGACGTAATTTGTTTAATGCGAACAAGATCCTCCGCAACATGAAGACAACAAAAAGGAACTGCCACAAAAGAAAGGAAGGGCTCATGGAGTCGTAACAACTGAGTTGTGGTATACGTCCAGGTAGTAAGTATTGGCATATCATTTCATGCAAATGATACCTATATGTTTCTACAGCAGTGCTTATTGCCTCATACACTGGTTCTTGAGGAAATTTGTGGGTGCTATAAAAGAGAAGACTCCGCAGCCGTAACTGTCTTTGCTCAACTAGGATTGGAAGGCATGGGAATTCCAATGTTTACTATAGCCGGTGTAGGAGAGGTGCTCGCAACATTTAGATGGTAGTTATTTCACTTAATTCAAGCATCCTTGGGGCCCCCCTCCCACGCCTTTGGTGGGCCCCCCACGCCTTTATAGGCCCCCCCCCTCCGCGCTTCACCGTCTCCCCGAAGCGGCGAAGTGCGCGCTGAGCGTCTTTTCGCTGCTTCGGCCAGAGCGTCTTGGGCAAGTCGGAGCCGGTCTTCCGGGCGGAGGACCGAACTCCCCGGGTCTGGCACCACCAGGAGCGAGGACGTCAGGGACCGCGACGCGAGGGAGGCGTCAGGGACCCGTCGGGAGAGCGGAACGGCGGTTCCGGGGGTTCTTGTTCGGGGTTGAGGTGAAGCACTGGTTCGGGACACTATATACGTATATGACGGTACTTTTTTGGTGATGAATCCGAGTGAACACATCATAACAAATCTATAAGTTGTGATATAGTGAGGGATTTGATGATTTTGATGTGCTGTTTTTTTTGCTTGGTCTAATTTTAAACCAAAGCTACATGGAGGCTGCAGGAGGTGTCCTTTATTCTGAGCTAGTTCACCCATATGTAAAACAGGATCTAAGCTAGTTGGGAAGTATCGGATTCTGTTCCATTTTGCTTGCTTCCAATAGAAGAGGCCACTAGAAGATGGCGTGTTGCCATGGTGCTTTCCACCTCGTGGTTTTTCCTAGTAGATCACAGTAGAGAACCCGATTTCGGGGTTGTTGACAAGGACTCCTCATGGGGCTGCGGCTGCAGGATCATTCTCAGAACTGAGAATGATCCTGCATTCTTTGGGATTGAAGGCACATAACCTCTCCGCTCACACGCAGACAAACACAGAACACCGGATCCGACCTTCCCCCCAGAAAGACCACCAAGACCGTCACGACTGTAGTCTAGTAATGTCTATAGTCTAGTAGTAGGACTGGAGTGTGTGGAGGATCATCCTCCATGGTTCCCATCTACACAGAAAAGTGAGGTGCTTTGTCCCTTTGCCCCTCTGCTTTCGAAGAGTTGTCTCATGTTCCAAGAGAGGTGGAACGTGACCGTCAATCGGACCTTACTGGGGTACCGAACCGGGATAGTCGTTGTTGGTGTTCTTCAACCTTTGTTGCTTTTCTTTGGCTTTTCGAACGGAGAACACCGAAGAACACCGAAGAATTCCGAACGACTCAGGAGCTGACCATCTTTGGGGACCGGGCCATCACCGTTCGCTTCGTGGTGCTCACCACAGACAACGTGGTGGGGCCCACCGTGACGGGGGGGGGCCGAGACCGGGCCGGTCGTTCTACTGAACGAACAAAGAGATTGCGGTCGGGCAGGGCAGGGCGAGAAGTATCGGATGATACGGTAGATCAGTTGTTGTTCTAGATTTGATTACAGACGTTTATTTTTATATATGTGATTTCTTGTGGATAGTATAATATACAATACAGTAATTGCTACGTGCAAGCCATGAATACGCGATTCTCTAGTCAGCCTTCTCCCCCGACCTCTGGCCCGGGCCTGAGGGCCCTGGTGATGACCCATTATGGACGTGTCAAAAGTCAAGCAAGATTTGACCCGTATGACATGTTGATCCTGAGGGTTTGGTCCGCAGTCATTGGAGTTTTAAGGCAACGGTTCAAATTGAGAGGTTCCATGTTGGGGCAGTTGGACCAAAATGTTTGCCTGTGAGGTATTGAGGTTTGCTTAGATACATCCCTGTTTGAAGCATGTGTGTTTCATTTTTATGGACGCCTTTCGGAAAGGTTACAGTATCCAGCTGATGCCAAATCAGTGGCACACCGACAGGTTTAAGGCTTGATTTTCGCGCCATGTTGGTCAAGTGCCTATAGCCAACTGAGCATTTACCGTTTCCCAGTTTGTTCAACATAGTACCGGAGGCGAGTTTTGTGGAGAGGTCACCCAAATGGACAAGAACATACAGAAACCGATCCAACAAAGCTCAGACGTCACGGTAAGTTAAAACGCCTCCGTGGTGCGTCCGCGTACCCATTTTCTGCCAAACACCTCCCACATTTGGATACGTCACCGTCGACCTCGCCAGGATTCTGGCGCTGCGATTGACAATGTGAATTTGGTCCTGCGTGGACACAGTGAGGTGGATGCATCCGACCATCAGAAGGCTTCCATCTCGGTGGTTTCGGAAGGAAAAGGGGCTGGGAATTCGTTGGCTTTTTCAGCTTGCATGATCTAACCAGGGCCCCTCCAAAAGAAACGTCGTTTTTACCATGTGTTTACCTGTTTTGTTTCCGGAGCTGGGTCCAGCTTCTTCAGGAAAAAGAGCCCAAGACCAACCATTTTGGAGGGTCCAAGAAGACTTGCTTTGTGCATTCGAAGAGCCGGGATGAAGTTGAGCTCATGTTTTTTGTTCATGTTCTATGCGGGCATCGTAAATGCTTTGGTACGATCCAGTGAGCTGTAGGCAAAGATGTTGGTCACCAAAGCAGGACTCGACCAGAATCTATTTTCCTGGTACAAGGGGAGGATAGCATCATTTAGCATCCGATGTTGCGTTCGCTAGGTCGCCCTTTTTTCGCCAGAAAATAATTCACTTCAATGGCTGTGGTGTTTGTTTGATGCCCTCGACTCGAACGCCCTCGACTCGTGGCGCCTGCGATCAACAGAGCTGTCAGACCTTGCTGGAAGAAGTGAAGGATGCCTTCGAGAACCTTTTGGACTCAATCTTCTCCAGGAAGTTCCTTGTTCTCAACGGAGCAGCGCGTTTTTTTGATTTTAAGTTTTTTGGGTCAAAGATCAAGAATGATCAGATTATCGGATGAAATCCTCCAAGTAGACTAATGTGCTTGTCATGTTGAGGCTTTGTTCTCACGTTGCAGGATTTTCACCCAGTGGCCATTTGGGTGCACTACGACTTATATCATCTTATATATAGATTTCAAACAATCTTTAGCTCCCCCCCAAGCCCCAAGCATTCTGTTGTTCAATCCATCTCGATCAGTGCTCTCGCATGCTCTAACTCTCAATCCCGCTGTATCTATACCTCTGCAACTCCAGAAATCATCATGGACCTACGTGGGGAGTTGGCGTCATTGACTCGGATATATAAATGGTCATCGACTGACTGGCGACCTGTTGGAGAAAGGCAACCTAGCACACTCGGAGGTCAACGTCCACACAGACCACTAACATGAATTCTTTGAAAGGGCTTTACACTTGTAGGATCGGTGTGTCATGGTGTGTCATTGGGCACCAGCAACCAGTGTGCTTTCCTGATTTTGCCAAACAAGACTGTTTCGAGACGCACCTACTGACTCCTAACCCCTCTTAGAACTCAAATCGTGTCGACGACTCAGTCAACTTCAACTTGGGATTTGAGCATAGTTTTGATGAGAGAGTTCAGCGGCGTTTCATCAGCGCTGGTAGAGACTTTTTGGAGTAGCCACGATGGGAAGCTGCCAGGAACTCAGCAGCAGGTACCCCGGTCCCCCTGGCAATCTTGATATGGTGGAAGTGACCCATCTGACAGCTGTGACCCACCCCGAACCGTCCTGGGCCCCCTGAGCGCTGCCTCTTGCGGCACAGGTACGACTCCCGCCCCAGCCCGACCACGAGCCACCCTGAGGCAGATTTCTGGTCCGGCCGGTCATCGAAACACGCAAACCAGTGGTTGAAGATCATGCCAATCTATTGTTTATATATATATATATATGATATTAGAAGATAGTATAAGCACCCGCTGTATCCCGCTGTGCAATTGAGTTGGTAAGTAGCCCAGTGAGCTTATGCCCTAGTTACGTGTGGATAGACGGATTTCCAACAGCTTTTACTGTAGTTGTTCAAAAGGGGATCCATACTTCTATCTATCTGGCATATCAACAGGCTACAATTTATACCTCTATATATATACTATACGCTGCAGTCATTACTTCGAACAACTAAATCGATCTAGTAGTCACGGAATGGCAATATGGTTTTCAGACCACTCCAAACTTTAAACCAAGCACGTTCCCATGATTTGATGCAGGCAAGCTTTTTGGAAACAATCCTATAGTGAAAAGTCCTGCCCATTGTCTTAGTTGTTCAAACCCTCTCACATTCTCAAACTATGTATATATATAACATTATATAACTAGTTCTACACCCAATGGGCTTCATGGAATCCCCCCTGAACCCCCTCAAATTCGCTGCTCGCCCCATTCGCCGGTTCGCTGCTCGCGCAAAAGGCTTCGGCGGGTTCCGCACTCCTTTGGGCCGCTTCCGGTGTCGCCCTCGCGGCCGTGGCGTTGCTCCTCGTGTGTTCCCGGCCAGTTCGACGGAGAAGGCGGGCGACCCGTTTTGTTCCGCGCTACGACCGGGGTTCGACGCCAGGGACGGAGAGTGGAGAGGATGGATTCGGGTGGAGACGTTTTGGGGGGTCGATGTTTTTCAATAAACGCTGGATGATACGCCAGAGTCCATGTGTTCACATGTGTTCACTGAACATGCATGAACATGCTCCATTCGTTTTACTTACAGCATGATAATTATAGTTGCCAAACAACTTAGTGGCCCAATAAGAGTGCCCCAGAGTCTTGGTCTTACCTTTGTTTGGGAATGTATAGTTGGAAGTTTGAAGCTTGATCCCCCATGTAGCAAAGGCCCCGACATCATCTAGCCCACGTTAGTACTCAGCTGCGTAATCCAAACACGGTTTCAATACCACAATGTTGGCAGCAATGGAACAGCAAGGGCCTTAAGAATCATTCTTAATCATCCACTCGTGATGATGCATGCGACCTACCTTTAAAGACACGACACAAAATCCGAGGTGTCTCAAGTTTGTGTTTTTAAAGATGACATCAGCGACTGTATGTTTGCCAGTTCTCATCAAAGATTAGGGATGGCGTGAGTCAGTTTGCAACATGTTTCATATCTATACACATCGTCATGCCCATATTGGCCAACCGTCCAGGGGTTGTTTCCTAGCTTTTCCACCAAGCTGTGCAGATGCCTGGCGAATTTTTGTCCTTTTGCGCCATCCATGACTCCAAAGGCCTGTTACAACATGTTCGAAATGTTGGACATGTGCCACACTTGCTCACAATTGATCAGTTGTTTCTGCACGGAAGAGCAGGACATGTGGCGCTGAAGAGCCAAAACCCAGGCTAAGTACTCCTGCCCCGGCGTCCCCGGCGACCACGGCGATGTTTCCGCTGCACAGGTATTTTGAAGAGGAAATCATGTGGGCAGAGCAGGCCTGCTCTCCAGCGAGTCGCCCGGGGCGTGTTGCGGTGTCGCCCGGAGACAAGCGATTGGGTCCTAGACATCCCCGATTGGATCCTAGAGATCCCCAAGAAGAGAAGAGATGAAGCACATCAGCTGAGGGGGTTGCGTATGCTGAGACTCTCGGTGACATGTGTGAGACAAGTGTCATGTGCTGTGCTAGACACATCACACGCCAGAAGCGTGTCAATTTGGGGCTGGATGAGCAAGTCTTTTCTCAAAAAGATACTATCTAATAAATAGGCCTTTGAGTATTATTCGGCCCTGCTTCCTGTACACCCAGGTCATTTGAGTGAAAGAACGTACGTAAATAAGCCTCCTCTCAACAAACAAAGTGCTGAGGGCCACATGTTAAATGCCACCATGAGCCTCTTGGGGCACTGCAGGAGCTGCTCTCGGCGAGAATCTCGATGGATGTGATTTGAGAAGCAACTGACCCACAGGGTGGTCCGAAGCAAAGCTGGCGAGGACCATCAACCATTTCTTGGAAAAGGGCCTCGGGGGCTGACTCAAGTACACACTCCAAAAGGACAGACAATTTTGATCCACAAACAGTTTGATGTTAGTTTTTGCTGCACACCCGGAGACAATCACCTGTCAGATGTGCGAATAGCACAAACCACGGTAGGACTACCACATCTCTCATGTACCTTATTTATCCTTATTATATATTCCATGCGTTTCCACGGTGAGATGAAACATGATCGACCAGTAGGAACCCATCCCACCATGATCAGTTCCCATCCCGACCCCGAGCAGTCACGGGTCCCATGCACGGATCATGGGACCCGTGCATCCCACGTGCGAACCATCGAATACTCGGAACAGACGCGGCTGAGCTGGTCCTGCTCTTCGGCCCCTGACCCGGTCTTTGACACCGGGCCGCGTTGTCGTCTCGCCGTCGAAAGCTCGGCGGGTGTCCTCCCCCAAAAGGAAAGCACCAGCCAGCGGTGTCCCGGTTGCGTGAGCTGAAAGTGGTCTCAGAAAAAAGCCAATGACTCTAACAATGAAGGAACCAGGAACCAAGGGAATTGTTCGAATTGCAGTTCAGCAGTTTTCAGGGCCTGAAGATTGGGAGTGGGGGACCGTGGGCACCAGCAGTTGGCCAGCTTCATTCCACTTGGTGATGGCGTTCTTTGCCACCCGAGGTGTGGACACGGCCATTCACAGGAGGGCCATGAGGTTCCACCGAGGTTCCTCGAACACCTCGCTCGGTTTAGGACCTCGGACTGGTCCTGTTGAGGTCCTCGGAGTCCCATTTGAGGATAGGTATTGCAGAGAGAGGATGAATAGAGGATGACTATACTACCCTACCCTCCAAAAAAAAAGGGGATTGGACCAAACCCCCAATTTGGTATTCGATGTCCATGGGTTTTCCCATTGGCCGCATGGCATCCACCATTTTGCACGTTGGGAGGGAGAGAGACAACATGTGTTGCGGATGGTCGGCACTTTTCACTGCTCGACGGTCGCTGAGTGAAGGCGGTCGCTGAGTGAAGACGGTTTCAGAAGAGATGGAGCACAAAGGTTCCGTTTTCAACGACCTACTTGGGGGATTGGTTGTGCCATCTACGGGGAAATGTGTGGCACTACCACAAACCACTCTAGTAAACGGTCCTTTTTTCGTGCCATCTATTTTTAAAGCACACATAGTAAACGGTGTTCCAATTCGGTCGTCGACTCGTGGACGGTCTTTTGTTTGCCTGGACCAGAGTGACCACTGCAAGCAGATGCCAAGCAGTGCGTAAGCTTCCGAGGGATCTCCAATTCGGAAATGTGAGACAAATATATTTTGGCCGGGCAAAGGGAGAGACTCAGAGACCTGTTCTGATCAGTTGGTGGGAAGACCCTACCAGCATGACGTGGCGCTTCTGATTTTGTGCAGTTGCTTATCTCCAACTGCAGACCTTGACTGCGTCAAATCTGACCAGCAAGGTTTTGCCCCTTGGTTTGCGTCCACAAAAGGTCGGATTTTGCTTTCACTTTCGATCAGAGAGGAATTATCGCTCCTTCCCATCCCTTCCCCATGATTTTAAGATGTTTTAACTGTCTTCCTTTCATTCCTTTCGCACTTCCGGTTACAGCAAACATGAGCAAACAGTCCAACTGCAAGAGCAGTTCCACCGGCAACAGTCGAAGCTACGGTCGAAACGTCGATGACATGGCACTTGTGTGGTATGGAGGAACCTGGTTGCCTCGGCTCATGTGTCACTGTGTCTCCGTCATCGGGAGAAGGAGCGGGTTGGTAGATGTTTGAGCGGGAGAAGGAGCGGGACCACAGCACCGATTCACTGATTCTTCATAGGATGGCATTGATGATCAAACTTCGTCCACCAATCCTAAGTACACTCAGAACCTGGACCTCGAAGCACTTTGAGGATGGCATGAGTGTACACATCGTTGCGAAGTGTTCCCTCCAATGGAAGATCATCGAAGTAGCTGGAAAAGCTACCTCTCCCCTGGGAGTCCAAGGCAATTTGGACAATTTGTCTTGAGGTGACCAGAACAGGAATTTCTTTAGTTCGGTGCTCCCAAAAAGTGTCTTTTGACCTCTAGCATCTAAGTCAGACCTGCAACCATTGGCCGATCTGCCAGCCGATCTGTGCATCTCGGCTCGGGTCATCACGCGTTTTTGTGCCAGCGTGTGTCAGGGCGTTGGGGTGCCTTGGAGCGTGACATGAGGGGCTCATGGGCGCTGCCTTTTTGAAAATCCACCTGTCTGGGACGGTGTTTTGGCCGATCTGGGGTGGTTTCGAGAGTGTCTGGGCTGGGTGTTAGCGGCCTACAAGTACCGACACTGGGAGTTTCGGGGGATCCCAGATGAGACTAGTCCAGATCACTAGGGCCATGTCTACCGATTCGCCTTTGAGTGGTTTGGTGTTGACTCCGCAATCAGTTTGAGTATCTTCAAGATCGTTCAATCGGATTGAACCTCCCCACGTGGTAAATCCGAGCCCACACAGCCCCGAACATTCACTCAAATTAAAAGGATTGATGAGTGTTTCTTTTAAATAAGGATGTTGGGTGCTAGAACCTCCCCAATTAATCTGAGCCACACACAACCCAGTCGATGTTTGGTTATTTGCTGTTATTTGATAAACTAAGGGAAGTTTATGGATCAACTCATCAACTCTCAACTCATGCTTCGCATCTCTTTTTCAGCTCATCAATGAGGGATTTGCCCATGGTTGAGCCTGTCTGATACTTTGCATCAATAGGCCTGCCAGTTCTTTTATGCTCTCTCCTCAGCCAGTATACAAGGCACAGCCTCATTGCACCTCAGACAGCTTGATTCAAATCTGCAGGATAAACAAATGCCAACACCTCTAGCCACTACCTTGGCCATTTGCACATAGTACTCATGAGGGAGCTCACTAATCTGGATGGTTTTCTTCTCATCCAGAGCGTCTACTGCCTGCCTCATCAGAGCAGTCAGCTCCTGATTCTTCTTCAACTTGGCCTTTGCCAGCTCATGCTGTTTCAATCTGCTGATCTTCCTGATTTGGGGCACCGATGGGCAGCCAGCTGCGCCAGGTGAACTTCTCCAATCCTTAGATTGCAAGCAACTCATTCCCAGTTGAAAAAATGGAAAGTTCACAACAAAAAGCAAGGCTGAGACACTGGATAGCCATGTAAAGGCCAATTGGAAAGCCCATCACCCCATACCATTGGTTTAAGGTGCCTCATACTCATCTTCATCAGCCAATGCCCAAAAGGCATGGTGGCTTGTGAGATTACCTCACCTAATTACTCACCAGCTGATTGGTGATGAGCCCATTCTGAGCCCAGATGTTGCCAGCCAATTCGCATCCCCTCATGCCTTGGTTCCTATGGTCCCCTTGCTTCCTATATATACCCTGGCCTCATGCTCATCAGCTCACTCCCTCTCAAACCTCCATGGTCCAATGGTCTGATAGCATATATTATTCAGGGAGTGGACCTCATGAATGGTACCTTGGATCTTCTTGACCTTGTTGACCTTCTATGTGGCGGAGGGCGGTTGATTCATCTGGTCGTTGCATAAAAAACGTGTTCTGCAGCTCAAGCACGGGGCATTGGTCGTTGCTGAAGCCCAGGTTCTAAGACCGGAGGACAGCCACCGCGTTCACTGCGGGTCCGGCGGCCCCAGGCGGGGATCAGAGGGTTTTGGACTGTGCGAAACCAGCAGATCGAACACAAAAAACAATACACATCGTTATTTTGATCACGTTGATCAGAATGCTTTACTGTCAAATATATATATATATAATACATAATATATATACACAGTATTTTGTAGTGATATAGGTTAATGTCAAAGTACTTCACCTGACGTTCGCACCGTGGAGTGACGACTGAAAGGGTCGTTCCCAGCGTGAACCTGGTGAACCCGGACACACCGGGACCATGCGACAAACGTTCGACATTCGACACACAACCTTAGCATCGCCCAAAACAATGTGTTTTTGGGATGCATGAGCCTGTGTTTTTTGTAGCTAGTGCTTGTAGCAGAATATGAGCCTATATCAACTCCCTATTAGGACCTGTGAAGAGTCAGATGAATATGTTGCTTGACTTTGTACTGCGGTAGCTGGGAGGAGTATCGGTGTTCTTCGGCTTTTCCGAAGAGTCAGATGAGGACAAACCCACAATCAGACTGAGGTCTTTCTGAGCTACCCAGTTTCCTGACGTTCCTTTGTTTTGCATGTTGGAATATTTGCAAGAGTTCTTTGTTTTTGCCTAGCTTGTCGGCTTGTCACCCGGTAGCTGGGAGGAAAATCAGTATTCTT